CACAGTCTAATAATTAGGACTTCCTTCGAAGTCGGAGTGCATCTACTAGAGAGGCAAGGAGCCAACAGTCTTCATACAAATAAGTTAGAGCTGTCAAACTGATGTGCACGCAACACTCGGGTTCCGCCACAAGACAAAAGTCTAGGGCTGGTGGAGCATCCAGAATTTTCCGCCGGAGTTTAAAGCCGGTGGACGTGAAGGAGAAGAAGTGTACACACACTCAGGCATGGTACACGGGCTATATCTGCGGTAATAATGTCGGACCGGGCGCTGCGATAACACAAGCCGACAGCCCAGATAGAAACTGTCGCGCTGGTATGCGCTAGTTGTACGTCTTATCTCGTGGCAGTTGCACCTCTGCACGTCTGCTGCCGGCTTGTGGCGAGCGGCCACTCAATGTCACCTTTTTTATTCTTTGAAAGATTATCCGTTATCATCAGCGTTCACACATTCTGTTAAGTTATCCGCAATTGTCCCAGAAAGCTATATGACCTACCCGCTCCTGATGGAGCATTGTTCTTCATCACGAGGCGGGTCCTTTGCAGAACATCGCCCTTGATGAGCAAAGCGCTAAACGGAATTGAAACTAAAATGACGACAGCTTGGCTATCTGTCGTCTGCTGTTGCTTAGTTTATGTTGCTTGTACCATTATGTACCAGCATGTTGACTCACTGACTGTCTTAGTCGATGTTTAAACTATATATATATATATATATATATATATATATATATATATATATATATATATATATATATATATATATATATATATATATATATATATATATATATATGCTCCTCCTTATTCATGGTTTTATGCTAAATCGAAACCCTTGTTCAGAACCAGGTCCTTCTGTATACAAACAGAGAAGGCCGTGTACAGAACCAACTGCAGCCGGTCTTGACTGAACGGGGTTTTCTTACTGCGAACTGAACTGAAGGGTCCTTGGTGGCTCGAGCATGCGTACTCGAGTAGTTGGTTACGCAACTGCTCTCTAGCGGTAATATTCGAAACTTTAGGACCCCCCCCCCCCACCCTTCTCTCTCTATGTCTGTGTATGTGTTTTATGTTTGTATATGTATGTAGATGCGTGTGTGTATGTGTCACGTATGTCTGTTTATGAGTTCGCATATATGAGAACGTAGGAGTATGTATACGTGTGTGATTGTGTACGATTGTGTACACATGATGTGTGTATGCATTATTCTGTGATTTATATTTCTTTGTTATATCCATAGTCGGCTCTGTGGCTAAGTCGATGCGAACGCTTCGCTTCGTAATGCCGGGATGCCAGGTTCGATCCCAGCTGCGGGCAATGCGCCTTGCGTTGGTTTCGACAGTGATATCAAGAAAGCCGACCGTCCAGAAGCAATGGCAAACTACCGGATGTACATTGCATAGAGAAACCACACAGCCAGGGGCTGTTAGGGTTGGTTCTGCAACGTCCTGTAAAGGATACGCAACTAACTTTTTATACCCATAACATGCATTATTGATAACAGGTATTGGTACTCTGAAAAATGAGTGCTTAGAAGGGCCGAATGTCAGACGGGCCTGCGTGCCTAATTTGTAACCCTTTGAAAATAAAGTTCTTTCGTCCCCCCCCCCCCCCCCCCCCCCCCCCCCGCTCTCTCTTTCTCTTTTTCTCTGCCATATGTATATTATTAACATCCATTGAATGTTCAAGGAAATGTGCTTGTTTAAACGTGTTTCCATCATTTTGAATAACCATATATTGTAGCTTTTCCTATTTCGATGTCTCCACCCATTTCCTTCTAGCTCACTTTTAATTATCCGCATCTGACTGGTAAACGTTCCTGGCTGCACTACTGTGTGTGTGAGTCATTCTTTACCTCACCTATCAGAGTTTACCATGTTCCCACGTTGGCATGTTTGCTCTCTCTCTCTCTCTCTCTCTCTCTCTCTCTCTCTCTCTCTCTCTCTCTCTCTCTCTCTCTCTCTCTCTCTCTCTCTCTCCCTCCCCTCCCCCTCTAATTTCTGCTGTTGCATTTTGTTTTAATATGTCTCATCCTACTGTTCGCTCTCTCACAGTTCTAACTTTTACCTGTGCTTATCAGGATGTTTTCATTATTTTCACCCGTCTTGTTTGTTTATTTTCCACGCCCTTCGTGGCTGTTACTGCTCTTCACCTGATTGTCTGGCTGTACTTACCTGTCTGGCTATCAGGGATGTCGACACACCGAAGACACCGGAGAAGAGGCGCTTAGCGTCCTTATACATTCTCTAGTGTGCTCTCACAAAGCCATGTTTAAATGCACAGTTATTGTTGTTGTTATTATGATCTGCTGTATGGCAAACATATATAACTTTGTATTTGAAATACAGTAAATCTTTGTTACCACGAATCACAAGGTCCCAAAAATTGAGATAGTGTTTGAAAACAGTTTACACTAACCGGGGGGTAAAGAAAAATAATATATTCCCCGCTGGGACCGGGATTCTGTTCATTTGAACAGCGTGTTTGTCTTGAAGGCTTTTTTTTTTTTAGCCAGGTGTATTCTTTGGACTTAAGGAAGATCATTAAGAATGGTCACTGGATCTGCAGAGTACGTGCTTTGTGCAGTACTCAGCTGGCAGCTAGCCGTTCTGCCTGAAACATAAGGAGAAGCTAAGAAGTCCGGCCTGCTGACTTTAAATCTGCTTTCCCTATAATTATGTCTACTGTTTGTCCATCCATGTCTAAATATCTGTGTCTGCCTTGCCTGCTATCTTCATGTCAGTCTTCTGTCTGTCTGTCTGTTTGTTGGTCAGATTTCTGTCTGATCTCTAGGGTAACTATGAAGATACGAGTATGTATTAACCCCTGAGTACAGTGGTCTCCAACCTTTTTCAGGTGCTACCCCCTTAAGTATAAGGTAAGGACCCCCCCCCCCCCAAACTACCGCTTCCCCCCCCCCCCCTCATCAAAACTAAAAGTGATTAAAAAGAGGACACAAAGAACAATCCCAAGAACTGTTAATAGCTTGGATAAAAACATACCTATGATTCAGAATGTCAAATATCAAAAGAAACAATCACCAACAACTGGTAATTTGGATGTATAAAACGTTACAACGGGTATAGAGCGAGTGGAAGACCTCTGAAAAGATGGAGTGATGGCATTAAGAACCGCCTTACAGAAATGAACATCAGCCTTAAGTGCTTTTGACAGAGCTCATCAACGAACATTACATCCAACCCCCCCCCCCCCCCCTACTTCGATGAGGTACAAGGTGGAAGAGAAGAAGAAGAGCTGTTGTATCTATGATATCTGGTATGTGTTTGGTCCTATGTTGGACAAGATACATTGTAGATCACTCAGCACAACAGTCTGACAGCGCTGTTTTATATTTCTTAAAATCCTATTTAATACTAGTACAAATACACTCAGTTTCAAAGTGTTTTGACGCCTCCTTTGAAACTCCCCCATGTCCCTCCAGGACAGTGGTTCTTAACCTTCCAAACGCCGCGACCCTTTAATACAGTTCCTCATATTGTGATGACCCCAGCCATAAAATTGTTTACGTTGCTACTTCATAACTTCAGTGAATATGTGTTTTCCGATGGCCTTAGGCGACCATCGCCTAAAAAATGGTGGTTCGACCCACAGGTTGAGAACCGCTGCTCTAGTGGGACGCAACCCGCAGGTTGGAGACCACTGTATTACAACATATTTCATCCAGTCTTTACCTCGTTAGTAAAGACCGAATTCATACCATTTTGAACAAGGAATTGATTTTTCTTTAAGCAAAATTGCCTTAAAAGTGCTGTGGCAATAGCCTGGATTAGTCAGCCCACATCTGTCAACTTAAACTGCAGTGTGAGGACGAGGACAGTCTATTACGTTCGTGGCTGTTGCCCTATTACAGTGTTTCCCAAACTCTTCTTGGTCGCGGCGCCTTTTTCCAATAAACAATTTTCCACAGCGCCCTAACCTAAATAAAATTATGACTTTGTGTCTTGATTGAATTAATTATGAAAATGTTGCAATATTTTGCGCGCGCCCGTGTAAAGAGGTCGCGGCTACCTGGGGCGCCGGGGGGGGGGGGGGCGCACAGTTTGGGAATCACAGCCCTACTACGAGGGTAAAATGAGGGTGGCACACGTAATCCTAACCGGATCTTTTTTTTCTGACGGTACACATCGGTTATAACACGGGTCTTGCGTTGGTTTTGACAGTGGTATGGACAATCCCGCCGTTCAGTAAGCAATGGCAAACTGCTGGACGTAAATTTGCTTTGAGAAACCACAACAGCCAAAAAAAATCCTGGGGCTGGTTCTGCAACGTCCTGTAAAAGATACGCAACTAACTTGTAACACATCGGTATGTAGTGCATTATTGTTTGTTTTAGCGCTGCAGTTGGCACCTTTTAGAGAGTACAAGCCCCTTTTTAAGGAAACTTTTTTCTTTCTTTCTTTTTTTTTTTTTTTGGCGGGTACTGGCTCTTTTTGATAGAGAAAGAAAAAACGCCTTAGTCCTAACACAGAGGTGTGGCATTTTAGAGGTTTCTGTTTAAAATCGAGCCAAGTCCGCTAGCTGTGAGGGATGAACAATCCACAGAAATGTGAACATAGTTCTGGGGACCAGGAATGGACAGTTCATCTTATGTTGCATCCATCATTACTTCGGGATGTCAGGATGTGTTAGAATAACCAATATAAATCATCACTACTAAATACATTATCGGTGTAGCGTGTGCTTTAACTGTTAATCTTAAACTAAAACATAAGAGCCGTTGGCATGTTGTGTTGTGGTTCGTGGCTCGGCTGCGATATCGGCACTTTTCGACCTGACACATTTGATATCAACAGACCCATAAATCATCATCCTGTGGGACATGTTTGTTGGGGGGGGGGGGGGACGTGAAGCTATTATTTGTTACCCTCAATTAGGGACACTGGAACCCACACAGGTTTTATGCTTTAAAAAAAAATCGGAATATTTCGTTTCTAGACTGGGATCTAAATATTTTTATTTGAATCTGTCCTATCCAACAGATCTCAGTGCCTCATCAGTGGATGGAGGGAAACCTGCCGGTCAGTGCCAAATGCAGTGTGTGTGATAAGACATGTGGGAGTGTCCTGCGCCTGCAGGACTGGAGGTGTTTGTGGTGCAGAGCCATGGTAAGTTGACGTCTGACAAAGCCGTGGTAAGTTGACGTGTGACAGGGCCGTGGTAAGTTGATGTCTGACAAGAGCCCTGGTATGTTGATGTCTGACAAGAGCCCTGGTATGTTGATGTCTGACAGAGCCATGGTAAGTTGATGTCTGACAGCCGTGATAAGTTGATGTCTGACAGAGCCGTGGGAAGTTTATGTGTGACAGAGCCGTGGTAAGTTGATATGTCAAAGAGCCAAGGTAAGTTGTTATGTGAAGTTGCTGGGAAGCTTAATGAGGGGGAGGGGAGGTGTCTACATGGTGAAGTAGTTAAGCCGTTTGCCTCGTGCTCTGAATGAAGGTCATGGGTTCGTTCCACAGCAGCACCTTTCAGTTCACGACTGCAATTTTCACGGAGATTCCTGTGTATCGTCGCCGGAGCTACAGGGATTGCGCTCTGTGATGCTCTCGGCAGGCAGCTAGCTGTACTGCATAGAGAGACTGAGCCATGTGGGATAAAACCTAATGCAATAAAGTCAATCCTGTCATGTTTACCTTTAAAAAGTTTAATAGGGAGAAGGGAGGGGGTATAAGAACACTCAGAAGTTCAGTAGAAGCCTTTATCGACCCACAACAAACACAGGGAGAGAATCTCGCAGACACAGGTCCTTATGGGGAACAATTACAACCTGTTTTGTTATAATTACATTGAAGCATTTTCCATACATTTTCGGTAGCAGTGTGTTTACATCAGAGATCTTGACCATTCTTCAGGTGCATTCAGCTTGTAAAGAACAGTTCAGCAAAAAATGTCCGCTGGGTCAGTGTCATGTATCCATCCTGCCACCAACCGCCATCTCCAGCATTGACAGTGATGGCTACTGGGAAGGGACCAGGCCACCGGGGACTTCTCCCTTGTTGGTGTATGTCAACACAAAAAGTGGGGATAATCAGGTCAGGTGATTGTTTCTCTTTGCATATGGTTATCTCTCTCTTGGCATTTAGTTATCTCTCTTATGGTTATATGTCTTTGCTTGTGGTTGGATTGGCTTTTTACCCCACCAGGACATCACACAAGCGATAAACACCCGATGACACAAAGTGCCACCATGCGGATGAGGATCACCGTGGAGAGGTCCCAGAAACCGCGTTCAGACATTTGGCCATAATGATGACCTGCCTATATTGCGGCCCCTGGCAAAAAAAAGTGGGGCTTCAAATAACAAAAAATAACGTCCCAAGAAGGACGTAAGTAATTTTATATTGCTTGTGGTTGTCGCTTTGTGCTTGTAGTTATCTCTCTTTGCATGTGGTTATATCTCTATGTATATGGTTATCTCTCTGTTTGCATATAGTTATCTCTCTTGTGGTTAACTCTCTTTGCATGTGGTTGTCACTCTGTGCTTGTGGTTATCTCTCTTCGCATGCGGTTATCTGTCTTTGCCTATTGTTATCTTTCTTTGCATTTGGTTATCTCTCTTTGCATGTAGTCATCTCTCTACTTGTGGTTATCTTCCTCTTTGCTAGTGGTTATCTTCCTGTACTTATGATTATCTCCCTGTGCTTTTGGTTATCTCTCTTCACATGTGATCTTTGCAAATGGTTATTTCTGTTTTCACATGGTTGTCTCTTGCATGCATGTGATTATCTCTTTTGGCATGTGGTTATCTCTCAGTGTGTGATCTTTCTTTGCACATTGTTATCGCTTTGCTTGAAGCTACATGGTAATTCTCTTTGCATATGGACATCACTGGTCTGATCTTCTTTGTATGGGCTCCAGGGCTCCTTGGTGAGGTATTGGGGAGGGGGGCTGGAGAGATAGACACTGTCCCCTAACTGTCATTTTGTAAAAGGCAACTGCTTGGGCTTTTGCTTTGAGTGGATATGTTTTTGTTAGGCTTCCAACTATTACAGAAAATGTCTAGGGCTTTTTTCACATATATTGATCTAGATGTTGCCAACCCCATATTGTCTTTTAGAACAACTAGCATTTAGCGAGTGACATGGTCAGCATCACAACAGTCACATTTTCTTTACTAGAGCATTTGTTGGTGACAGTTTTAGGCTGGTAGCCCAGGACATTTGTTGGTAACAGTTTTAAGCTGGTAGCCTGGGACATTTGTTGGTAACAGTTTTAGGCTGGTAGCCTGGGACATTTGTTGGTAACAGTTTTAGGCTGGTAGCCTGGGACATTTGTTGGTAACAGTTTTAAGCTGGTAGCCTGGGACATTTGTTGGTAACAGTTTTAGGCTGGTAGCCTGGGACATTTGTTGGTAACAGTTTTAGGCTGGTAGCCTGGGACATTTGCTGATAACAGTTTTAGGCTGGTAGCCTGGGTCACCTTGGTGTGAATTTGAACCTAGGTTCTTAAAACGCGGGTAAACATGCTAGCCTTTGTGCTACCCTGGCTCACCTTCAAACTGTTGCTCAGGCATTTAACTCTTTTAGTAGCAGTTTTGTCTGAGATGGTCCAGGGAGACCTTGACTACAATGTAAAGATGTGAACGTATGATTTCCAAAGAGGCAGTTACACAGTGCTGCATGTAGAAATGTCTAGCCAAAATTGATTTAGTATGCTGAAAAAACCAAGTTTATCTGTCTAGTATGCTGGAAGAGAATCTTGAAGATTAAGTAACGAACGTGTGTGTTGATTTATGGTTATGGCGAGTGAGTGGCACATGACGCATGAGCGTTGCTTTTGGTAGAAAGAATAAATCATTCCACACACTCCTCTCTCTTCCACAACACTATTCTGGTTTGGGTGACCCTGTCAGAGGAATGACTGCCTGCCAGGATAACTTCCTGTGTCACTGCAGCTCTCAGGCTAATGTCAGGTGGCACCTGCCAGCATAACCTCCTGTGTCACTGCAGCTCTCAGGCTAATGTCAGGCGGATACCTGCCAGCATAACCTCCTGTGTCACTGCAGCTCTCAGGCTAATGTCAGGCGGAAGCCTGCCAGCATAACCTCCTGTGTCACTGCAGCTCTCAGGCTAATGTCAGGCAGATGCCTGCCAGCATAACCTCCTGTGTCACTGCAGCTCTCAGGCTAATGTCAGGCGGATGCCTGCCAGCATAACCTTCTGTGTCACTGCAGCTCTCAGGCTAATGTCAGGCGGCACCTGCCAGCATAACCTCCTGTGTCACTGCAGCTCTCAGGCTAATGTCAGGCGGCACCTGCCAGCATAACCTCCTGTGTCACTGCAGCTCTCAGGCTAATGTCAGGCGGCACCTGCCTATGGAGATCCAGTAATTAGTTGTTCTACCAAACAAAACAGCAAATACAGTGTTTTCTTTAGTTTCAGTTGGCTTTATGAAGTTCAGGTACTTTTTTAAGCATGTTGTTACAGGCAACTAATTAGGGTTTTGCAAACAATTGAATGTGTTGGTGCAGATGTTGAAGCCCGGCTTAAAAACTTCAACACAGCCTAGCTAACTGCAACACAACCTGGCTAACTACAACGTAGCCTGGCTAACTACAACACAACCTGGCTAACTACAACATAGCCTGGCTAACTACAACACAACCTGGCTAACTACAACACAGCCTGGCTAACTACAACACAGCCTGGCTAACTACAACACAACCTGGCTAACTACAACACAACCTGGCTAACTACAACACAGCCTGGCTAACTACAACACAGCCTAGCTAACTAAAACACAGCCTGGCTAACTACAACACAGCCTGGCTTACTACAACACAGCCTGGCTTACTACAACACAACCTGGCTAACTACAGCATAGCCTAGCTAACTAAAATACAGCCTGGCTAACTACAACACAGCCTGGCTAACTACAATACAGCCTGGCTAACTACAACACAGCCTGGCTAACTACAACACAGCCTAGCTAACTACAACACAACCTGGCTAACTAAAACACAGCCTGGCTAACTACAACACAGCCTAGTTAACTACAACACAGCCTAGTTAACTACAACACAACCTGGCTAACTACAACACAGCCTAGCTAACTACAACACAACCTAGCTAACTACAACACAACCTGGCTAACTACAACACAACTTGTGTTCTGTGTGCGCATCTGTTTTACAGATGACTTATTTGTATGCAGACTATTGGTTCCTCATCTGTCAGGCAGATTAACTCTGACTGAAGGAAACACCTGTAATTAGTCGCCTTCTATGACATGCTTGTTGGGGCTGGCCGATTGGTTAAGAATACTGGGCTCTCATGCGGAAGACCCACGTTTGAACCCTCTGTAATATTGGGGACTATTTTCTGTCAGGGGCGGAATAAAAGATCTTAAGCTGCGCAGTCAAGGCAACAGCACTAGCGATGGGGCTCTAAACACTCAGGCTCAAAGACCTGCCTGCCTACACCATAATTACTTATTTACTTACCTACTTAGTCATTCCTCTTCTACCTTAGGGTGTAGAGGCTTACCAGAGAGATTGCCAGAAGTGTCTATCAGCAGTTTTCTTTCTGGCTTTGTTCTATTCCAGTCCTCTGTCAGTTAGGGACTGTCCAACGTTGTCTTCCCAGCGGACCCTGGGTCGCCCATGAGGTCTGGTTCCCTGGGTCTTAGCCTGCCATGGTGGCTGATTTTCTCCCATTCTGCATACATGTTTAAACCATCGTAACTGTGACCTGCCTACACCATAACAAAAGTAAAAACAGGCAGTGGTGGTAGTTATTTGTTATGTGCAGGTGTATAGAAGCTGTTGGAATGTTAATGATACTTGTTTTACTGTTCCAGTTTTGATGAGGCAGTAATGATTATACATCCACTTGTGTAGTGATTAACGCGGTTAGCTAATCATTTATTGAGGCCACTAGGAGTGTTTTACATCTCCTGAACTCATTATACCCTGGCCTGGTATATGTCAACAACCTGCCACTTTACACCCACTAAGCACGGCTAGGCCTGCAGAAGCCTGCAGAAGCCTAGAAAATGGCCGGCACATTTTTGCTGGCTGTATTGTATTCATGATCTTTCTATGCTGAGGCTCTGACATCTGACACATGAAGTGCCTCTGTTTTACAAATTTGTTGCCCCTGAGTAAACTTAGTTGAACAGTCCAGTGTTATATTTAGAATTACCTTAAACTTATTTGAGTATCTTTTAATGTATGTTATCAGTTGATTGGCAAAATCATGTTGTAACTGTTTTAAAGATTGTGAGTATAACACAGATTAAAATATTATCTGCACTACAAGTTCAATACTTTCAGTCACAGGTAATTGTAACTTAGAACATTCTAACAGAAGCAGTTAAAGCTTAAAAATAATGTCATCAACATCATCAGTTTCCACTTCTGCTGTTAGGCGTTGGGGGAGGGAGGTAGGAGTTAGTTTGCAATCTGTTGCTTGATGAGCAGCAATGGCTATTATTATTATGTGTCAATGCAGAAGCTCTTTAATATCATCAGTCCATTTTCTCATAGGACAGCCTCTTGCTTTTACTTCAGATTTGTCCATGTGTAGCGCCTGCATTGCTAGTTGTTCTGGCTGCATTCTTACTAAATCATCAAACCAATCTTCTGTTTCTCAATGAATTTGCTGCGTGGTGTTGTTCCTACAGGCTGCCTGATAATATCATTTCTAATTTTGTCTCGGATGGTTAAATTGGCAGCTTTTCTGAGGCATCACATTTCACAGGTGTTAATTTTATGTAAGTGAGCCATTGATAAATGTCCAAATCTGGCACTGGTAACAACAAAAGGTCACTGTATGTATATATGTATATATATATATATATATATATATATATATATATATATATATATATATATATATATATATATATATATATATATATATATATATATACTGATAACACCAGTTGTCCTATATGTCTGTGAAACCTGGAGCACTGCTAAATTAGGTCAGGCCTTATTACAGACTTTTGAGAACAGAGTTTTATGACGACTCTGTGGACCCTTCAAAGATACATACAGCAGAGAATGGACAGTGAGAAGCAACAATAAAATCAATCCGTTTAAATCACCACTAATTACTGTTGTCATGAGAGTTAATAGTTAATAGACTACAGTGGTCTGGGTATACAAAGAGAGAATAGCAGATAACAAAGAGGCAGACAAGTTAAATGTGTTAAGACCCTGAGGCTGACCCAGAAAACGGTGGAGAGATAATAAATGCAGGCATGACTTACAAACGCTTTCAGTCACCAGTTGGAAAAAGAAAAATGATCACTTACTCACTTACTTACTTACTTAGTTGCTCCTCTTCTACCTTGGGGTGTAGAGGTTTGCCAGAGAGATCGCCAGACGTCTCTATCAGCAGTTTTCTTCCTGGCTTTGTTCCATTTCAGACCTCTATCAGTTAGGGACTGTCGGATGCTGTCTTTCCAGCAGGTCCTGGGTCGCCCTGGAGGTATAGTTTCCTGTTTCTTAGCCTGCCATGGTGGCCGATTTTCTCCCATTCTGCAAACATGTCCAAACCATCATAACTGTGACTGATCTACTTGAGTTTGTTAGGGCTGGGTATCAAGAACTTGACGTATTGTCTGATTGCGGACCTTGTCCCTTCTTGTTACTTGGACCACCTTTCTCAGATAAAGAAAACTTATCATAGAATGAACAGACAAACTTTATTTTCGAAGGGTCACAAATTAGGCACGCAGACCTGTCTTACATTCGGCCCTTCCAGACTCCCATCTTTCACACAGCAGTTGTATTTCATCAATAAAGCATGTTATGTTCGTGTATTAATATGCATATTATGAATATCAAGTCAAAAAACAAAAGCATGGGTAGGAAAATATGTGCACACGCTAGCGCGTGAAGACACACATCCACATACACACGCAAACCAATTCACTCACACATACATACATACATACATACATACATACATACATACATACATACACACACACACACTCATACATACACACAGTCACACACACACTCTAAAACACACACGCATACAACCCAGACATACAGCTATACACACACACACACATACGCACATGTAGCCGCACAAAATGACACCTACAAACACACACACCGACGCACACAGACATAAACCGTCACACACACACACGCAGCTACAGGCACACACACAAACACATATATATACACGCAAGCAGGGAAACACACAGACACGGACACACACATAGACATAGACAAAGTTAAATAGAAGCAGGTGTGAATGGAGTGCTGAAGAATAAGACGGTCTAAAGAAGTTCAAACAATATACATCACTAAATAAAAGTCCCTGTGTGGGTTTTAAGGCCCCATTGTGGAAAAAACAAAAATGGACCCATTACCTCCCCCAACAAGCATATCACAGCAGTCTGCTAATTGGGAACTTCCTTTGAAGTCAGACTGCATCTGCCAGAGTGGCAAAGAACGACCAACAGCACACAAATAATCCAGTAAAACGGATGTACATCCTGGCACTAAGCCAAAGTCCAAATAGAGGAATAGCCAGGACTTTCCACCAGAACTTGAAGCAGGTGAAAAAAAAAAGAAGAAGAAGAATAAAAGGTGCTGCAGTTTAAAAAATAACAATTGGGGTGGAGTAAAAAGTAAAGGACCTTTTTTTACAGCAGTTTTGCACCTGGCATGTGAAACTAGAATCATATTTATAAAAGCCATTAAGTACTAAGTGGCTAATATGGTTGGCATCACTCCAGCCACCTTTGCTTCCCAGGACATACCTGATATCCATTTTATGCTGGGTTGACCTGAGTGCCAAAGTCAATTTCAAGAAAATCTGACTGGCTACAGATTTTAACTCGAGACTTGCAGGCTAGCATACAAACAACTAGCCACTACACAACCACAGCTCATGGGCTGCTGGCTCAGCATCCGATTTATCCCAGATAATAAAGTCCTGGGAAGTGAAGACCGCTGATGACGTGACGACCATATCACCCATTCATTGCTAATTGTTCTATAAACATGCAGATCTGCCATCATGAATGCTCACTGCTCCAGTGAATTGAAAAGTAGACCCTTTACTGTACAACTGTTTTCTGCCAGAAAGTGTGAATGAATGTCGTAAACCTGATGACTCATTTTATGAGAGGAATTAACGTTTGCTCTTATGTGGGAGAACAATTTAATCCTCAGTGAGGGTTGGATTTTTTCGAGGTGGGGGAGATCCTTACCTGCACCACATTTCATGGCGACTGCACTAGCCATGTGACCCTAAATCATCATGTTCATGACCCCCCCCTGACTTCTATATAATCCTACAAGTGGCAAATCATCAATTAGTATATCCTTTACAGAACATTGCTCTCTTCATGGCACGCCTAAAGGTCTCTCTTTTTTTAGCCAATTATCCTCCCTGTGTGTTTTCACAGCCATTGCATCTTCAATTTCCTGTATCCATCTTCGCAGAGGTCAGCCTCTGCCTCTTATTCCTGAAACGGCACTCTCCTTCACCATTTTCTCCAGACCAGAAATACAGACAGTAATTACTTTTTGGAGATCTGGGTCACACACATGCACACACACACACACACATGCACAAAAAACGGAAAAGTAACCCAGATTTTAGGAGAGTGCATTGACCAGCATGGGAGGTCGGGGCATACTAACCCAACAGGTAGTTTGTGATTTGACACAGGTCACTAGCCAGGTATTGATGAGTCAGCCTCATTAAAGTATTGGCCTTCCTGGAGCAGCTTACACCTAGACTATCATAAGTTAAGCGTTGGCCTTAGTAAATGTGAAGGAGCCTTTTCCACGTCTTTAGGGGTAATAGGTGTATAGGGCTAGACCTCTATTTTGTAGAGCAATCGGCCCCACGTCGGCCGCCTTTACTATCCAGGACTGCACCTGGTACCCACTCAAGGCTGGGTCAACCTGGGAGCCAAGGTCATTTTTTTAAAAGACCGGCTCCATCAGCACCTGAACTCACGACTTTCTGATCCACAGGCCAGCATCTAGCTGCCACACCATGTCGACTCCCGTTGGCCTTAGTAGAGAATTGATATAAGTAAAGAGTTGACATAAGTGGGATGTTGGCATAGGTACAGCTTTGGCTTTTAGTATAGTGTTGGCATTTTTAGAGCTGCACAGGGTGGAATAGAATGGAGAACTCAGCTGTGGAGCATATTTGACATAAAATAACCCACAAGATTAAATTGATGATGATGATTAGTAGAATCTTGGTTTGGGTAAAGAGTTTTGGCCTGAGTTCAGTATTTAGCAGGTGTTTCCCTTTCTAGATTGAGAGTCACTGACTTCAGCTTACACTGGTGGAAGAGCTTATACATTAGTGACACCAAGAGCTCTATCAGTCTAACTTCTAGCAATCTGGCTTCTAGAAATCCTTCATTTGCCCACAAAATCAAAAAGGTGCTGATGCAACTAAATTACTCCTTCTTCGCGTTTACCAGCTGTAAACTTTGGCGGAAAGTTCTGGTTGTTCATCCATTTTTGGACTGCAGTCCTGTTCCAGAACCTGAGTGTTGCGTGTGCATCTGTTTTACAGATCTGAGTCATTTGTATGCAGACTGCTGGTTCCTTGCCTCTCAGGCAGAATGCACTCCGACTTTGAAGGAAGTTGCCAGTTAGTCAGCTCTTGGATAGGCAGTGGGTCTATTCTTTTTCCCCCCTATAATAGGGCTCCGGAACCCACATGGGGAAAGTAAATTACAAAGCATCTTCTTCCTCACATTCACTGGCTGTAAACTCTGGCAGAAAGTCCTGGTTGTTCATCCTTTTTTGGTCTTTGGTCTTGTTCCAGGATTTGACTATTACATGCACAATAATTGTACAGATCTGTTTTATTTTTTTGCCACTCAGGCAGATGCATTTTTACTTGAAGGAATCATTTGTCTTCTTCTTTTTGTTTTCCAGTTGTAAACTCCAGCAGAAAATTCCAGTTATTCTTTAACTTCTGGACTCTGGCCCTGTTCCAGAACTTGAGTGTTGTCTGCACGTCCGTTTTACAGATCTGACTCATTTGCATGCAGACTGTTAGCTCCTTGCTTCTCAGGTGGATGCACTCTAACTTCAAAGGAAGCTTCTTATTAGTTGACTATTACAACATCCTTTTGGGTCAGGCAGTGCGTCCTTTCTTGTTTTCCCTCCGCAATGGTGCCCCAGAATCCACATGAGGAAATCAAATGTTGATCCTGTCTACGCTGGCCAGGCTCCCGGTTGGGAGATATATACTGACTAGTCTTACAAACAAAACTGATAATAAAATCTCTTAGTGTTTTTGAAACGCTTGTCTGTGAGTCATGTAAATCCATAAAGCCCTGAAATGAAATTGAACAGCCACAAGCTTTTACAACAGTCAGCACATAGGTGTACTTTTAACATCCTGTACACCTGTTGCATTGTTAATTTGTCCACGCCAGGACATCCTAGGTATTTTTTTTTATTATGTTAGCAATGTGACATTAGTGGTTAATTTTTATTTGTATCTGTTATCATTGTAACATTAATAACTTTGTTTTTTCTATTGTATTAGTATTCTGACATTGATAGCTTATTTTTTTTTTCTTTATTTTTAGGGTGTAAAATTTTTAAGGCGGTTTAAACAGTTGTTAAATCCAGCTCAGGTTTTTGATCTCATGAACGGAGGGCCGTATCCAGGGTATGTATGTCATATTGTATTGTGGTTATGTTTTCAGTATGTCAGATTTGCCTTCAGAGTCTGGATTTCTTCTTCTTGTTCTTGTTCTTGTGCTTCTTCTTCTTCTTCTTCTTCTTCTTCTTCTTCTTCTCCTTCTTCTTCTTCTTCTCCTCTTCCTCTGCCTCCTGCTCCTTCTTCTTCTTCTCCTCCTCCTCCTTCATCTTCTTCTACTCCTCCTTATTCTCCTCCTCCTCCTCCTCCTTCTTCTTCTTCTCCTCCTCCTCTTTATTTTTTTCAATGTTCGCCATCAAAAGAGTAATTAGCCACGAGGAAGCAGACCATGTGGAAAGCAGGCCGGACGGAAGAGGTAATCCACCAGCTGCACTACCCGATCTGCCTCAACCTCCAGAGAGGTGAAAGCAGCCACTGTTAAAGCAAAGAAGAATGATGCCAAGGTCACTGTGCAGGACCTGAGTGACATGCCAGCATCACTTGATCCAGCAATGCCAACACCAGAACCCACACAAAGCCATACCAGAGCCTTCCATCTCACCTGAGAGACAGACGACCGGCAGCCACGAGCGTGGGCCAGGCAGCAGTTACTGCCCTGACCACAATGTTGCTGGTGAATATACTTGAAAGCTTATTACTCAGCAAGCAGGCGGCGGCACAAATTAAGAAAACCAGAGACAGAGTGATTGTCACATTGAACAGAACCAACCTGATCTGAGAAATCATAAGGAACGGCAGAAAGTAACTGCAGCTGCCCAATAAAATGGTCGTGATTGCCACCATATTCCAGAACCTCAGCTGTTGGGTTGTGTGGAGGATCAACCTCCACTGAGTGACCAAGAGATTCTCCAGCAGCTGAAGAATGAAAAACCAAAACTTCACTTCACAAAAGCAGAAAGGCTCGGATCCAAACTCAACCCTTCGCCAGTCGCTGTGATTTCTACAGAGGGAGAAAACATCCCAGATTCAGTCTACCTGAACCAGAGGAAGCAGAGACCAGAAAGGTATATATCGCAGATGCTGCAATGTTCCCTGTGCCAGAAAGCCTGGCATTCCAGATCATCATGCTAGAGTGAGCCAGAAATTTGTCATTATTGTTCGGAGCATCACACCTTCAGTGACTGCCCCCTTGCGAAACTGGACCAAGACTTCAGAAAAGCCAACTTTAACAGGAAATAGGCCAACTGTTCCAGCCAACATGGTGTCAGGAACCTAGGTTGCCCCTACTCCAGCTATGCCGAGACATCACAATTACTGCCATTCAAGAAAACATCCCAAGAGGCCTGCAGGAGACATGAGGCACCCAGAGGCGCCACTACAGATGTCACAACCAAGCTCAGTAACCAGGTCAGTGTCCTGAAAAGTGAGATCCTGGCCCTCCATGGGGCATCATGGCAATCCTGACTGACATCCAGATTCAGTAGGAACAAGAAGCACGAAACAGAGCAGCAGAAACCACCACCACAGGCCAAATAGAGAAAACTGCCCTCAAAGAACTGCTAGAAACCCAGCAACTTATCTTGTCTGAAGTTACCACGATCAGGTAATCTCTAGCAGAAACAGAAACAAAGTTGCAGAAGAAAACTCAAAACTAAGCAGAGAACTTCAAGCAACAATCGAGGTGATGAACGCAAGAGAAGCCGATTGAAAAGAAGCAGACAGACTTGAAGAAGCTATAGGCAAAACAAGGGAGGCCAAACTCAACCCACAGCCAGCAAGGGCCATAATAGAAGAAGGCTACCTTAAAACACCCCAGCTAACAGACGAACTAGAGTGGACCCAGCAAATAGAAGCTGCATGGACCAAGGAGACCCAGTCACCGAGACTTGGCTTAAAACACGGCAAGTGCTGCATACACTAACCCAAGAGGCGAGCCAGGTATGATCGATGCTACCACAGTGGACACCCGACCCCAGGAGACTCATTGCAAAATGATGGCACCAGAAAGAAAACCCAGGAAACCACATAATGAGAGGGAAGCAGAAGAAACACCAAAAACTTAAACAAAATAATGACCAGGGTTAGGCCAGCCAGACAGCGATAAGAGACAACCAGGCAGCCAATCAAAACCACCCAATCCGTCATGACAGCAGACTGGCCAGCTCACCGAACCCACCCGCGCCCCCCCCCCCCCCCCCCCCTCCCTCTCCACCTAACGCCCAAGACCAGCCAGGCATGAAGCTACAAAGAAACTGAACAGCCAGTAGGAGACGTGCTTGTTGAGGAGGGAAGGGGGGGGGGGGGGGGGGGGGCAGTTGGTCTATTCTTTTTACCCCTACAATGATGCCTAGAACCAACAGAGGGGAACTTATGAATTAACATGTTATTAAATTTTTGTAAAGCAAATTAGGATAACGTAAAGTAAGTAAAACTAAGAAAACTTTTATTGCCCAACAGCACATCAGGCACATAACGCTAAACTCATTTTTGTATAGAATAATTGACCTTTGGTAGGTCATGTGGTCACCACTAGTTCGGCTTTTTTATCTTTCTGGGACATTTCCTGGTACCCTTTCGAGCTGGGTTGACCTCCGAGTGAAAATAAATAATTAAAAAATTTGCTGTGGTGCAGATTTGAACCAAAGGGTCTTTGGGTCAGCAGGCAAGCATCTTACCGCTGGGCAGCCAAGGCTAGGCCAGTCGTCACCAATTGTGCAAGTCAGTCGTCACCAATTGTGCAAGTCAGTCATCACCAATTGTGCAAGTCAGTCGTCACCAATTGTGCAAGTCAGTCGTCACCAATTGTGCAAGTCAGTCGTCACCAATTGTGCAAGTCAGTCATCACCAATTGTGCAAGTCAGTCATCACCAATTGTGCAAGTCAGTCGTCACCAATTGTGCAAGTCAGTCGTCACCAATTGTGCAAGTCAGTCATCACCAATTGTGCAAGTCAGTCGTCACCAATTGTGCAAGTCAGTCATCACCAATTGTGCGGTCAGGAAGTTTAGTTGTGTACTGCTGAAATTTAATTCAGAAAATATGTGTTTGTGGTGTGTATGTGTTTTTCCCCCTCTAATATTTTGTTTTGTGTGTTTTCAGGTTGAAACTTTTCCAACGATTTGATTCATTCCGAATTTTAATATGTGGAGGTGATGGCAGCGTTGGCTGGGTTCTGTCTGAGATTGACAAGTTGGATCTTCACCGACAGGTAGTTGTTGCATTGTATGATATTATTTACAAGTTGGATCTTCACCGACAGGTAGTTGTTGCATTATTTAATATTATTTACAAGTTGGATCTTCACCAACAGGTAGTTGTTGCATTGTATGATATTACTGTACGGGTGCTAGGACCCCATTTGGTTAGGATGGTGGTGGTGGGTCTTGAACAGATCCCCCTGCCTCGTAACAAACAGTAAAAGGCAACTAAGGGCTTACTGAGATAGTATATGTAGGGACGAAAGAGCAGATATCACAGCCTAGCTGTAAACCACAATAACATGGTACCAGCTGCTTTTTTAATGGTAAAGAAGTATGATGTTGCAGTGTTCTTTATTTTAACCAGAGAGAAGCATTAAAGTGGCCTTGGACCTCACTTGTCCCAGTGGAATAGTCGAACAAGTTGGAATACATCTGTCTGAGAGGCAAGGGGAACAACAGTTTGCACATAAACAAACAGATCTGTACAAACATGTGCATGCAACAGTCAAATCCTGGAACAAGACCAAAGTTCACAAAAGGATTTAACAACCAGGACTTTCTGCCACAGTTGGCTGTCAGTGAATGTGAAGAAGAACATGTTTTGTAAACAGACGGGCAAAACACACTCTCTTTGAATAAACGTTTTGTTGGCTGTTCTCTCATGTGATGCAATCTCTCAGCTTTGATGGGTAATTATTCCCGAGCTTGTAGACCTATTACAAGCCTCTCTATCAGTCAGGCAACCATAGTAAGTTACCTTGTTTCGACATACTTACTCCATTTGCTCACTATCCATCTCAACATTCTTTATTAGCTTCTCCAAGTCTTTCTTTCAACTCACTCGACAGTCGGCTGTGGCTTCCTTCCAACTTCATTTTCATTTGTCAGTGGCCAAGTACCCCTTCATGTTTTTGGGTAGATGGAATATCTGAAGCTCTATATAGCAGCAGCACGGTGTCCGTGGCTCAGGCGTTGCAAGTCTGACTTGCAATTCCAGTGTGCCGAGATTGAAACTCACTGCTGGCTGTGCTGATTTTTATCATGCTATGGGGCGGCGCAGGTCGACCCAGCCTAAAATGGGTACCAGGATGTATATCCTTGAGAAGTAAAGACAGCCGGCGTAATGCTGACTACATTGTTGAATGAATGTTGAATTCTTCTTCTTCTTCTTTGCGTTCGGTTTCGTATGCTCAGATCAGACCATCAGGTGGGTTGCCTCTATGAACTCGCATGTCAGCTGCAGGTCCTGCAAGGTTCCCCATAGCTTGCTCTGCGCACTTTGCTCTTGAGGCCAGGTGTCTTTTCAAAGTTGCAGGTAGAGTAGGCAGGTCTGTAGAATGTGCTGAGGTGTTTGTGGTCCTGTCTGACAGGCACACTGTGGGGACTGCACAGTCTTTATTTTATGCATGTGGTAGTTGAGCCTGCAGTGTCCTGTTCGTAGACCGAAAATTGTTGTATGTTGCTTTCTGTTGAGTCTGCTGATGGGGTCTTGTGGATGTTTACTGTTAGTGAATGTTGAATTAAGAATCGACATCACAGCACTCGGGACACTCCCATAAGTGCTCAGTCCCCATCTTCAGCAGCAAGCGAAGAGTTCCAATTCCGATGGTACAAGTAACCGTCTGATTGTATATCCGTCTCATCTTTCCCCCGAGTGTTAAGTGTCGGCCAGATTCCCTGGTAACTCCTTGCAGCCCCATTTTCCTTAGACGGTGATGATCTATCTGCGCATCTGCACTGTTCACTCGCTCCCAAAGGGCCCTCACAATATCTAACTTGCTGACCACATTACCCACCTAGTGTCAATTGGTCTGTAAAAACATGGGTGCTCTTTCCATATGCCTGATGCTCCTAAAGGCGTCAAAAGGGATCTTTATTTACTATATACCAGCATGTGCATAGCACATACGATGATTATCTGAACCTCTTCAAAACCTGGGGATGAAAAGCAGAACATGACTAGAGAAGAGGAAAGAATCAGAATCATGTTGTTAATGTCTTCTTTTTCTCCACAGTGCCAGATTGGAGTTTTACCATTTGGCACAGGGAATGATCTTGCCAGGGTTTTGGGATGGGGTTCAGCTTTTGATGATGACACTCAGTTACCTGCGGCACTGGAGAGGTTGGAGCAAGCACAGATCAAAATGTTAGACAGGTCAGAATTAGCATCATCATGCTTCTCCTACTATTACTTCTTCTTCTTCTTCCTTCTTCTCCATCTTCGTGCTGCAATATCTGCACTTTTTTGGCCAACACATCTGAATTCAGAAAACCCTTAATTAATTGCCTTTTACAGCATGCATATTTGTTGACAATCAAGGTCTATTCTTTTTTTCTTTGCCTTTAAAGCATTTTGGACCCTGGAGACCTGAGCAGGGAGTTGAGTTGAGGTCAGAACTCACCTCTTAGCACCTAAGGCATTACCAGAAGTGCTCTGTCCAGAATCATAACAGCCGGCAAAGTTCCAGTACCTGTGCTGCCAACTGCTGGCTGATTATATAAATGTCTTTCCTTTCCTTTGAGCCAGGTCCTCTGGTTACTATGTGGCATTGGTAACCATATTAGCCATTTTTCTTGTGTACTATCAATCATTTCTGATACTGATGATCACACAGATCATGTTGCCAAACTGTCCATAATCTTCTTTCTTGCTATTCCTATGGCTCTCTTTCCTTCTTAGCTTTTCAATTGTTACAGTATGCCTTAGACTCCAGTTAGAAGAAGAACGGAGCACTTATGGGTTACTACCCGTGTGCCATGATGTTGATCCATTGTTCAAACCTTAAACCTCATCATTATTCTATAAAACCTCATCTGAGGCAGCTTCCGCCTAACTTCTCACAATTCTGCTTGCATTCCGTGATTCTCAGGTAAAGTAAATTTTGTTTTCTATTTTCTTTAATCGCGTTAACCGGCTGAAAACTCCGGCAGAAAGATCTTTTGTTCTTTCATTTCTAGATTTTAGTTGAGTTCTACGACCTGAGTACATCTGTTTTGCAGATCTGGCTTATTTGTAAGCAGACTGTTGTTTCCTTCCTACTCAATCAGATGCACTCTGACTTTAAAGCAGTGATTTCCAGACTGTGCGCCATGGCCCCCTGGGGAGCCGCGACCACTTCACAGGGGCACCACAAAATATTCAATGATGCCCAAGTTTTTTTTTCTTCTTTTTTTAAAATCTCTTACATAAGAATAGTCATACTTTTACTTAGGTTAGGGCGCTATGGAAACAATTGTAATTGGAAAAAAGGGGCTGCGACTAAGAAAAGTTTGGGAAACCCTGCTTTAAAGGAAGTACCCCTAATTAATCTACTTTTATGACATGCTTAGGGAGGGGATAGAGGTCGGTGTAATAGGTCTATTTTTTTTTCTTCTGTAAAATGGGGCCCTCGAACCCACATGGAAAAAATCCGCCCCCCCCCCCATGCTTGCACGCGCGCGCACACATGTGTGAGCACACGTGTCATGCAGGCTCATATTTTCCCAGACTGACCAGCAATCTGTGTGTAATGCAAACATCACTGTAGCCGCCTTTACTTCCCAGGATATTCCATGGTACATAATAAAGTCTTTATTGTTCACAAGGCACGCTCCTGAATAATCCTTTTTTTAAAATTTTTTTGTACTGCGATATTTTCAGATGGGGTATTATGGCTTACGAAGGAAACATGCCACCTCCAAGAAAACTATCTATGCAGGTGAGGGACTGACATTATTTAGGCCATTACTTGCCGTATTTCATTTATTTATTTATGATTGTGAATAGCAGTATTCCATAACATTTCCATAACAAAAATGTGAGTTTGACTACTTGATAAGAATTCCCTGGTACCATTGACAGTATTAGGCCATATGTAAGAAATATATTGAGCACAAAGCAAGGAGAAGACTGAACAGAACAAGGAATGACAGCATCAAGAGGAGCCTCAGAAAGAGCTTAAGACCAACTTAAGAAAAAAAAATTTAGGGTGTTGTGACCAATCAAGAGGAAAGGACCCACCTCCTCTATAGGACATCATTTGCTTGTTTCTGGGCATGTAATTGACAAGCACAGTGCTTCCCGTTTGATTAACTATTCACCGAACAGGCGAATGCAGAGACTGGCCAAAGCTTTAACAATAAAAATGAGTAATCCCCTCTTATGTAAGCAGGAGGAATTCGTTATGAATTTGAAGTTACGCTGGTAAGTCACGTGACTATTGTGAACTTCCGGTGATTAGACAAACATGATTTACCAAGAGCCACTATTTGTATCTCATCAGAATTTATTCAGTTATTAATGCATAATTATATGTTGATGTAATTCTGTTAGTAATGCACCTGAGGAAATACAGCAAAATATACCTGGCAATATATTGTGCAATATATTGGTTGTGTTTGCATAATTTAAAAATAATTTCTGTGGCAAACCAATATACATTTTGTGTTACAGAATGATGCCATGGCCCAGTATGAAGATAGTATGGCGAACCATTTAACCAAAATTTTACATTCTGAAGACCATCAGGTTGTCATCTCCTCAGCCAAGTAAGTTTGTGTGGGTGTGCATGCTTCAGGCCTTGCTCTAGTCATGAAGATTCCAGGTAATTCTGTGGGTTTGTGTGGGTGTGCATGCTTCAGGCCTTGCTCTAGTCATGAAGATTCCAGGTAATTCTGTGGGTTTGTGTGGGTGTGCATGCTTCAGACCTTGCTCTAGTCATGAAGATTCCTGGTAATTCTGTGGTTGTCTCTCTTTTGCTACCTGATTCTGGTTCCATCTTTAATTTACATAACTGCTTAATGTTTACTGTGCAGATTGTAGAATAAATCTCAGGAGTGGGTTTTCACTTTTCTTTGTGTTCTAGGATCTTAATGCATTACCAGTTACAATCGTTTTAAATCAGTACATGATGCTTTCCTTGGTATTAAAAGAGTTTAAAGTGTGTTCCAAAGCATCTGCTTATGGGCTTGTTCTATTTTGTAATGATCCCCTTGTAAACAGTTTGTCATAACCCACTTGTAAATAAATATTTTGTAATGACCCACAAAAGAACAGTTTGTCACAGCCCACTAATAAAGTTTGTTATGACCCACTTATGAAGTCTGTCATAGCCCACTTGCAGAGTTTATCATGACCCGCTTATTAACAATCATTATGCATTGATTCACTATAAATTAAGTGTTTCATAAGCCCACTAAAATAGTAGCAGATACATTATGAAAACGAAACAGGGGGCAGCAACTAGGGGCAGAGATCATATAATCCGGCAACATAAAGAGCAAAACTAACCAATCTGCACTAAGATGACGGCCCTACAGACAACACGCAGAAAACCTAGTTCAGCAGACATGGGAGCTTCAATATTAAGAAACACACAATGAAATGAGAGCATGAACAGGAGCAAAAATTATAACTAATGTTATCTAGGAGAGGTTAGCTCCCTATGTAGCGGTTGAACTTGGCCAAATCACATTGATAAGGATGATGATGACTAACATAGTTCTTCACCCCCTGAAAACAGTTTTTGCCCCCCTCCAGAATGCTGTTATCTTCTCTCTGTATTCCAGAGTATTGTGTGAGACTGTCAAAGCATTTGTAGCCAGAGTAAGCAAGTCACACGAATCAAAAGGGGAAGGAGAGAAGGAAGCAGAGGATGCAGAAATGGGTTCTCAGTTTCAGATTTTGAATGAAAAGCTGCAGAGCCTGTTGGATACGCTAGCCAAAGAGGAGAAGGAATCAAAGGTTACTCATTGTTCAGCGATGTGTATATGTCTGTCTGTTGTTTTCTTATGTGTATGTGTTTTTATATATGTATTTTATGTTGTATGTTGATTGATGAAGAACTAAGAACAATTTTAGGCACAGTACTGGTAAATGATTTCATAGAATATCAAAGAGTCAAATGGTTTGGTCATCTGGTCAGAAGCGAACAAAATCAACCAGCTGCTAGAGCATACTACCTGAGAACAACAGGCTACAAGTAAAGAGGCTGACCAGGAAAATATGGGTGGATGGAGTAAAAGAGACACCACAGAAACACAGTATGACATTCATATTTAATGTCCTGTTTTCCATAAATGTTCATATCCAGAGAGTCTTTAATGTCCTGTGTCCACCATTGTGTTGGTTTGTTCCTGCCTTCTTTTCCAGAGACCATGTCCTTTGGTACTGTTCATTCAAAACCATTGTGAAATGTGATGTAGCCAAGTATTTAGATCTCAGACATGAGATACTATTTATGGATTGAATTTCTTTTTGTTCCTGTCACATTGAATTCTGTATCTTATTTTTATTGTTCAGCGGTGTTCTAAGAATATTACTGTTAAATTTAAGTTCCAGAACTTTGATTTTTTCTTAAGTGTTCATGAAGTGATTGATTTACAGCCAGATTTCAGTAAAGGAAAGATTCAAATTGCAAAACTTTTACTTTTAGGTGCTTGCTGATGTTTTGCTATAGTTTTATCCTATTTTCTCACTTTATTGTACCTCACTTCATATTTTTTCATTTTATGTTTGCTAACTTTATGTTTTCTCATTTTATATTCTTTACTTCACATTTCTTAACTGTGTGTTTTCTCACTTCATATTACCTCACTTCATATTTCCCAATTTTATAGTAATTCAGTTTGTATTTTCTCACTTTATATTCCTTATTTCATATTTCTTAACTGTATATTTTCTCACTTTATATTACCTCACTTCAGATTTCCTAACTTTATAGTAATTCAGTTTGTATTTTCTCACTTCATATTCGGTATATCTGCATCTTCTTTTTGTGATATTGACACAAAGGCATTCACAAGTGATCTCCATTTATGCCAATCCTCTGCTTGTCTGCCTATCTTTTCCCTCAAGTCATTTTGCATTTCTTTATTTCATTTTCTGCTATTCTTCTTTAGGTTTCCTTAAGTCTCCCACATCACCTTTTCCCATCCACTTCTGTTCTATCATCTGTCCTCTGTCAATGAGCTGTCCTTTCCAATGGGTCACAACGCATTCTGTAAATATAACCAAGCTGTCACCATCTTCTTCCTTTATTAAGATTTGACAGTGATGAGCATTCTGTTTTTTTTTTTCTTTCTCCTTTCTTCATTTGTAATATTGTGTCGCTAAAATATTCATAGTATACTTCTTAGACATTTATTTTGAAAAGTCTACATGTAATTCCCGCCGTCATATTCCAACTCAATGTTGTATAATAGTACTGGCAGATGGCTGGGACTCATGAGCAGCAGCTACCGCATCTCCTGCAGCTTCCTTCATTTTATTTGCTCATGAGTCCCAGCCATCTAGTTTAGCCTCAATCCAGGCCACTTTAGTACTGCTAGTGATAAGTGACCATGTTAACTTCCTATTACGTCACTGTATATGTTCTTGATATCTAAACTCATACGGCCAATGAAAGTAGGGGGAAAAACACAACTACTTTTTGATACAATTTCAGAGCATTGATGAAAAACAGGAGAAAATGGACTGCAATGAGAAGGATGTACCCGACATCCCACAGCACACAGTAACCACACCAGGCAACACAGAAGCTGTCCCGCCCACAATCCTCAGTGGACTGGCCAAGCCAAAACTGGTACAACTTGTTTGTTCTCCTGAAGTTAGTTGGTTAGTTAGTTGATCGGTTAGTTAGTTGGTTAGTTAGTTGATCGGTTAGTTAGTTAGTTGGTTAGTTAGTTGATCTGTTAGTTAGTTAGTTGGTTAGTTGATCTGTTAGTTAGTTAGTTGGTTAGTTAGTTGATCGGTTAGTTAGTTGATCTGTTAGCTGGTTAGTTAGTTGATCAGTTAGTTAGTTGATCTGTTAGTTAGTTAGTTGGTTAGTTGATCTGTTAGTTAGTTAGTTGATCGGTTAGTTAGTTAGTTAGTTGATCTGTAAGTTAGTTGGTTGGTTAGTTGATCGGCTAGTTAGTTGATATCCTGTAGTTGCTGTCAAGTAGAGGTTACACTCATTTTAACTGGGGCTAATCAATACACACTCAGTCTCCATTAGTGAATTTTTACATTATGAAATGGTTGTTTGGATGGTGTATGGCTCAGAGGTGTGAGGCTCTCTGCTAACCTAAAGGATGAATTTTATTCATTAAGGAACTTAGGAAGATTCATTTCCTGATACTGGAGCAATTCTTGTTCTGCTGTGTTCGCCCTTAAAAGGTCAGCTGGTTTGTTGTAGTTTTCAGCTAGTCTGTGATATCTGTGCTTTTTTAATATCATCAAACTTCTAGTTCCTCATCCTTTATGACATGCTTGTTGCGGGCAGTAGGTCTGTTCCCGCCCCCCTCCTCTCCGCAAACTCTCTCCTAAAGTTGTGCATGGAAGACACAAGGGGAAGCAAAGTGTTGAATTTGGCAGCTTTTCTTGTATGATGCTGGAGCAGTTCTTGTTCTGCTATGTTCGCCTTTAAAAGTTCAGATGGTGTGTTGTGTTTTACACATATTCTGTGCTATCTGTGCTTTTTGGTCTCAGCAAACTTCTAGTTAGTCATCTTTTATTATGTGATTGTTGTGGGGCAGGCAGTAGGTCTGTTCTTCCCCCCCCCCCCCAACACACACACACACACTCCCTTCCTAAAGTTGTGCATGGAAGCCACAAGAGGAAGCAAAGTGTTGAATTTGGCAGTTTTCCTTGTATGATATTGAAACTAGCACTATCCTTTTACAGGGCATGGCAAACTAACCCCAAGCACTTGTGGTTTTACTAGGCAGTGTTACATTCACTAGTTTCCAGCCACCTTCTGAATGGTCAACACCCCTACCTTTGTCATAACCAACTAAAAGTGGTCAGCCTGTAGCTGAATATTTCAGAATAAAGAATTATGTTCACAACCACCAAACTGCATAATAGTATGAGTTTTAATTGATATTTTAAAAAAAAAAGGGGGGGGGGGGGGCGGTCTATAAAGATGTGTACAAAAGTTACAAAATGTGTGTCAGACTATTTGATTTCACACTTCAACAGATACTCTAGAGGAGTTAGTTGAGCATTTTGGAGCTCATTGGTGGCCATAAACAAGACAGGGAAATATTGTACACACATCTGACATTTCTGCGTATCTCTCTCCCCCCTCCCCCCCCTCAAATGGGATGGGGAGTTTTTCATGCAGTGTTTACCATGCAGTGTTTACCGTGCAGTGTTTACCATGCCGTGTTTACCATGTAGTGTTTACCATGCAGTGTTTACCATGCAGTGTTTGCCATGCAGTGTTTGCCATACAGTGTTTACCGTGCAGTGTTCACCATGCAGTGTTAACCGTGCAGTGTTAACCGTGCAGTGTTTACATGTGTCATACTTCATTTTACCTCCAGCAAATGTTCAAGTCAAGGGAAGCACTGATGTCCAGGGCCAACAGTCTGAAGAAGGCAGTCAGGCAAATCATTGAGCACACAGAAAGAGGTGGGTCCCAGTGGGCTGCATGGACTTGGTGGCTGCAGACTAAGTGCTTATTATATTGCTCATGGTTGTTGCTAGATGGGAGGATTGTTGCTAGGTTGGAGGATTGTTGCTAGGTGGGAGGATTGCTGTTAGGGATTATTGTTGCTAGATGGGAGGATTGTTGTAATTGACGTGCAAGATGTGATAGCTGGCAGTTATTGTTAGATATGATAGCTGGCAGTGGTTATTGTTAGATGTGATAGTCGGTAGTGGTTATTGTTAGATGTGATATCTGGCAGTGGTTATTGTTAGATGTGATATCTGGCAGTGGTTATTGTTAGATGTGATAGTCGGTAGTGGTTATTGTTAGATGTGATATCTGGCAGTGGTTATTGTTAGATGTGATATCTGGCCCCGGTTATTGTTAGATGTGATAGTCGGTAGTGGTTATTGTTAGATGTGATAGTCGGTAGTGGTTATTATTAGGTGTGTTAGCTGGCAGTGGTTATTGTTAGATGTGATAACTGGCTGTGTGTTTGTCTGTGTGCTGATGCCAGTTGGCAAGGCACTTGATGATGTTGATGGTACCCCCTGCGGTTCGGTGTGAGTAAGGGTGTTGCACTGAGTACTGAATGATTTCTAGTTTCACTAGTATTTCCCATGCTGTTGTTGTTATTTGAGATGTTATTTCCTGTTGAGATACATTTGCCAACTGTCTTTGGTTTCATTTGCAGCTGTGGATGAGCAGAATGCCCAGACATTGGTCATGGAGAGCAACCAGTTCCCGGGATCTCTGCTGAAATCCTGCTCAGAGGCCTCCAGATCAGCTCCCAGCTTCTCTGTGTTTTCTGGTGAAGAGCCAGTGTCACAGACAATCACAAATGTGGATACAACCACATTGCAGGTTATTGGTGAGTGATAAATGAGTTCCCTTTGTAGGGATGTGCAGTTCATTATAAATGCACTGTATATAGAAAAATGTGTCTGTTGAGATAAAAATGCTCTGTGAAAAGTCAGTAGTCTGTCTGTTAAGATGAAAGTTAACTGTTTGTAGTCAAATGTGTATCTTTTATGAAGACTTTGCTCTGTGTATAGTAAAATGTGTATCTACATAATTCTGTGACAATGTGAGGCCTACCATAATCATCATCATGTAGCAGGTCCTTTGCAGAAAGTCGCTGTCATTACAGTCTGCCTGAAAGAAACTTGATCTTGCACCAGCTTTCCTGCCTCATATCCAAGGAGTCACTTACATCCTGTGCCAGTCTTCGTGTTTGTCGACCCCTGCCCCACCTTCCTGGCACCATACTATTTTGTATCCTATTCGCTGTGGCGCTTGATATGGGCAAATATGGCCCACATGGCCCACCTCTTTTTGATATTTGTGACAGATTGTCTTTATTTTATGTTGAATGAAGAATCTGCATCATAGCACTCGGGACACTTCCATAAGCGCTCTGTCCCCCATCTTCAGCAGCAAGTGAAGAGTTCCAATTCTGATGGTACCAGTAACTTTCAGATAACCATCATTGGTCCTGTTGACGTTTTCAGGCCAAGGATTAGAGTAACTTCCCTTGCCATTCATCCCTACTTAGGTCGCTAGACCTCTCCTATGTTGCAGGGGTGTTATGATATGGCTTGGTTTGGCGTTCACTTAGCGTATGTAATGTTTATGGGAGGTCGTGTTGTTGGGAGTCTATTTCAGGTGCCAAAGGTGCCTGTGTACAGTAAGAAGTACTGCAGGGCGAAGCGCAGCAGGCAAGGGAAGTTACTCTAATTCTGGGCCTGGAAACATGAACAGCACCCCATCACCTATTATTTTTTAGAGTTTTTAAAAGAAAATTATCTCCCTGTTGAGAAATTTGACCTTACACAAATGTATGCTGTGCACACTCACTAATCTGTGAGTCAGACAGGTCATATCCAGGTGTTACAAACTCCCTTGACAGGTGGTCATTATTTTTTCATTCAGTGTAAAATTAATGAAAGGTGTTACATTTTTACTCTGGCATGACAGTGTTTCTCTAGATCCAATAAGATCTACTCTAGGACTAACCTCCTGTTATTCGGAAGCACCTGGTCTGCTAGATCTGCGTTATACAATAAGATCTACTGATACCATGCCTTTTTTTAATTAATTTTTTAATAAATTTTTTTTTTGATATTTTCCTTCCCGCTCTTTATCTGTCTATATATTTCCATCAATCTCTTCATCCATCTGTCTTTTGTCTATCAGTCTCTGTCAGTCATGCTCTCCCTCATAACATCCCTCTTTTGTCTATCAATCTCTGTCAGTCATTCTCTCCCTCATAACATCCCTCTTTTGTCTATCAATCTCTGTCAGTCATTCTCTCCCTCATAACATCCCTCTTTTGTCTATCAATCTCTGTCAGTCATTCTCTCCCTCATAACATCCCTCTTTTGTCTATCAATCTCTGTCAGTCATTCTCTCCCTCATAAGAGAAACAAAGAAGAAACATCTGTTTGTTTTCAGTATAAAGCTAATGAATGGTCACATGTTAACTCTATCATGCAAACATGTTTCTAGATCCAACGAGATCCCCCCTGGGGCTTGCCTCCCGCAGAATCAGCAGCATGAGCACCTTCAACCGTTCAGCGAGTGTGGACTCCAAGCTCAGCATGTCTGTCGCCAACAAGGGCAAGGAGGACTTCCCTGTGCAGCCTCACTTTCCTGTGATACACCTACCTTTTGTCCAGCCAGCAGTCTTACCAGGTAGAGTTCCACTAGAGAAATGATTTATAGATTTTTTTCTACCATCATCATTATTATTATTTACTTAGGCTTTATGTTCATCATATTATCTGGGGAGGTAAAGGCGGTAGACATGATTTTGACCACATCAGAACGTCAGAAAGACAAACTAATGTTAGAATATAGCGAACTAAATAAAATGGTAAAGAGAAGTGCCAGAACTTGCAAGAGAAGATTTATGGAAAATGCTGCTAAAGCACATGATCTACAAACCCTACACAAAATTACCCAACAAATTTGCGGAAGCAGAAACCATTACCAGAGCATACCAATCAGAGATAACCAAGGCAGACTGCTCACCACAGAACAAAAACAAGACATGCAGTGGACTAAACACTTCTCCGACCTCTTGAACAGACCTGATCCTGAAAATCCCCCAGCTATTCAACCAGCCTCTCAGGACGTTGACATTATTACTGAACCACCAAGCAAACAAGAAATCCTTAAAGCTGTCCACACTTTAAAGAATAACAAAGCACCAGGTAAAGATGAACTGCCAGCAGAACTTCTCAAAGTAGATCCCAACACAACTGCTAGCATTCTAGAACCATTGTTCAAGGATATTTGGGAAAATGAAGTGTTCCCTGATGACTGGACTGAAGGAACAATAGTCCAAATCCCCAAAAAATGAGATTTAACAGACTGCAATAATTGGAGGGGAATTACTCTCAGTACCAAGCAAAAATATTTTGTAAAATCATCATAATGCTGCTTGAAAAAAGGAGTAGATAAATGCCTACAAGTGGAACAAACAGGATTCAGAAAGGGCAGAGGAACAACTGAGCACATCTTCACCCTAGGTACCAACAACCAGTGACCATAAATAACCAATCACTTGAAAATGTAGAACATTTCAAATATCTTGGCAGTGTGGTGTCCCTACTGGGAGGGACAGAGGAAGACATACAGTCACGCCTGAACAAAGCTGTAGAGGAACAAAACTACAACTCTACAAGAGCATCATTTTGCCAGTTCTTCTTAATGGAGCGGAATGCTGGAGAATGACCAAAAAGGATGCACACAAGCTGTCCACCTTCCACCACACATGTCTACGTAGAATTGTCAAAATTTGTGGCCAGATACAATCTCAAACACTAAACTACTTCAAGTCACAAACCAAGAAACTCTGGACAGTATGATAACCAAGAGAAGATGGAAATGGCTTGGCCACGTTAGGAGAATGGATCCTGATATGCCTGCCAAAACAGCTCTCATGTGGATACCAGAGGGAAAGAGAAAAAAGGGGCGCCCAAAAAGAACATGGAGAGGAACGATGGAAAGTGACCTGACTACGGCATCTCTGACATGGAAAACTGCACTAAAGATTGCACAGAACAGGAAAGCATGGAAAGTCCTCTCTGAAGCCTCATGTGCCACTAGGCATAACAAGAAATTATGATGCAAACACTTGGTGTCACCAACTGGAAAGAGAAGGCCAACCAGAGAAATGAATGGAGGTGGGTGATATCTGCAGCAATGAACCTCAAGGGCTCAGTGTGCTGAAGAAGAAGAAGAAGTATCGTAATACTTTAGACAGATCCTGTATGTGCTTATTTCCACTTTGTTTGTGAAGAATCACTGGGTCTATTCTATTCATTTTTCCTGAAAATTGGGGTCTAGGACCTTATTTGGGGGACACTGACATCACAAATCCTTGTTTTCTTCTTCTTTGAGAGCTTGCTTGCTCACTTGCTTATGTCAAGGTTTGTGTGGTATTCCCCCCCAAACAAGGTGCTGTAGCTCAGCGTGGGCCTTGTGTGCAGTCAGCCTCTCAGTAACCTGTCATCCTATCCTCCACAGGAATCAGCAGCAGCATAGCCAAGAACTTGGGTGGGGGAAGCTTTATCAGCAAAGTCCTGCTGGCTAATGCAGATGCCTTGTGTGCCGCAGCTTCACCGTTGATAGAACAGGACATTCCTTTGTAAGTTGCTCTTGAGTTTTTGCCTCTGTGTTAGCTTTTTTGTTTCTTCAAAATAAAAATAACAAACAGTCACAGTCTGCACTCACACACACACACACCATATGCACAGTACACACAGAGTTTGAGATGGTGAATATTTGTATTTCTCTTTAGTGAATAATTAAAACTGTTGACTTTTGCAGAGAATCCTACCATGAAAAATGTGTTATGAACAATTATTTTGGGATTGGTCTGGATGCCAAGATTACCCTGGAGTTTCAAAATAAACGAGAGGAACACCCAGAGAAGTGCAGGTGATACACTTCATATGTAACTGCTCATATTTGTTGTTGGTTATAAAACATGTCATTTGTTTTGGTTGCTGTAGTTTTGCTATTGAAGTAATGAGCAGCCAGTTGTAAGATGAAAATGCCTAATTTATTTTTCTTCATCAACTGTCTTCTTCTCCTTCTTTTTTTATATTTACCAGCTGTCAACTCTGGCAGAAAGTTCTGGTTGTTTGTTTACTTCTGGACCTTAATTCTATTCCAGAACTCAAACTCTGCGTGTACAATGGTTTTACAGATCGGGTTTATTTGTACGCATACTGTTGGTTCCTCATCTATCTGGCAGGTGCGCTCCAACTTTCAAGGACAAATCCTTGTACTTTTACATTAAAGTTCCGAAGATTTGATTTTTTTTTTTCATCTTTAGTCTTTATGGAGATGAATGGCTGGGTCAGACAGTTAAGAACACTGGGCTCATGCTGAAGACACAGGTTCGAATGCTCGTTAAGGCATTGATTATTTCTTCTGTTGGGGACACAAATAAAATCCTAACCTGCAATCTGTGGTGACAACAATAGCAATGCAGCCTCAGTCCTCAGGTTCAACGACCCTCCCCCCTACCACCTACACTCCAAAAGTCCTAATTACAAGCAGATTTTGGCAGTATTTGTATGTGATTTGAATGTTACCATATGTCACAGAAACTGTAGCCTAGTATTTGTAAATTCTTAGCATTCCAAGTTTTTGTTATCTTCTGTAATGGAATAATTGTACCCATTGAGCTTGCCTGGTGTTGACAGGAGCCGGACTAAGAACTTGATGTGGTACGGTGTTCTCGGAGGGAAGGAGATGATCAGTCAGACCTTTAAGAACCTGGATCAGCGGGTGCTCCTGGAGTGTGATGGGCAGAAAATACCTTTACCTTCACTACAGGGTATTGTGATACTTAACATTCCAAGGTGAGAAGTTAAGCATTGTTTGCATTATTTCCCTTGATTGTAACCTTTCACCTTTAACCTGACCTATCTCTTTTGCTCACTTCCTGTCCATCGGTATATGCTTGCGATGACTAGTAAGGATGCCTTCCTTGCAGCTCTTTTTTTTTTCTAACATGGAAAAACGTTCTGACAGCTTTGCTGAAAAGCTAAATTATTTTATGTACTGTCATCATCAGCGACACAAAACACCATCACAAGCACTACATCTCAGAAGATCAGCTACAGGAGCAAGAGCACGGCCTTCAAGGCATGAAAATAGCCTGTGCCAGCCAGCATGCACTGGATCATAAATTATTCCTCCCTACGTTGCTTAGGGAGCGAAGTGGTTTTTGTTTATGATCGTGATCATCATTGTGCTGGCATGAGTGTGTGTTTGTGCTGATGAAGGCTTTTTAGCTGCAGCATTAATTTTGTCATTCATGATTGTATTTCATTGGGAAGCTGAATACATCTATTTCTCATTTAAATTGATGTTTCCAGGTGTAGAAGTGGCTGCCAACATGTGTGGGTTGAGGTGGCTTATCTCATGGAGAAATTAAAGACGGAAAGAGAATAATAATTCATAGAGTTCATTTGTCCTTGTTTTCGTTTGTAAATTAAAACATTTGTAAATTAGAATTGTTTCATTCTGCTTTTTAAGAGATATAGGTTAGAATCCTGTCATTTAGCTTTTAGAGCTTTAGATTATAGATTACAATTGTTTCATTTAGCTTTTAGAGATGTGGATTGTAGATTAGGATTGTATCATTCTGCTGTTAGAGATATTGATCATAGATTAGAATTGTATCATTCTGCTGTTAGAGATATGGATCATAGATTAGAATTGTATCATTCTGCTGTTAGAGATATGGATCATAGATTAGAATTGTATCATTCTGCTGTTAGAGATATGGATCATAGATTAGAATTGTATCATTCTGCTGTTAGAGATATGGATCATAGATTAGAATTGTATCATTCTGCTGTTAGAGATATGGATCATAGATTAGAATTGTATCATTCTGCTGTTAGAGATATGGATCATAGATTAGAATTGTATCATTCTGCTGTTAGAGATATGGATCGTAGATTAGAATTGTATCATTCTGCTGTTAGAGATATGGATCATAGATAAGGATTGGGTCATTCAACTTTCAGATATATGGATTATAGATTAGGGTTGTGTTATTCTGCTGCCAAAGACATGGTTTATAGATTAGAATTGTGTCATTCTGCTGTCAAAGACATGGTTTATAGATTAGAATTGTGTCATTCTGCTGTCAAAGACATGGTTTATAGATTAGAATTGTGTCATTCTGCTGCCAAAGACATGGTTTATAGATTAGAATTGTGTCATTCTGCTGCCAAAGACATGGTTTATAGATTAGAATTGTGTCATTCTGCTGTCAAAGACATGGTTTATAGATTAGAATTGTGTCATTCTGCTGTCAAAGACATGGTTTATAGATTAGAATTGTGTCATTCTGCTTTTAATGTTATGGATTATAGATTAGGATTGTGGCATTCTGCTGTTAATGATATGGACTATAGATAAGGATTCTCAGAGCGAAAGAGTTAAGAAATTTGCAGCCCTTCCAAGTGCTGGAGTTTAGAATATAGCATGTGGTTAGCATTCTTCTTTGTTTTCCTAATTCCGTCATAGAGTTCCTTAAAATATTGACTTTTGTACTTAGTGAATATACTGCTTATTAATATTTCACTGTTTATTCTCATTATTACAATTTTGTTTTCACAGCTATGGAGGGGGAGCTAACTTCTGGGGTGGCTCGAAGCAAGATGAGGTAAGTCTTTGTCTCAGCTTCAGGAATGATCTCCCATTATGTACGCAATAGTTGCAGAGACGGTTTAAAAAACATTTTAAAGTGTGTACTGCATATAACGCATAAACCCAATAAGCCCTGTTTTAACTTTACTTTCCAGAACTTCACAGCGCCAAGTTTTGACGACCGTATTCTGGAGGTTGTGGCTGTGTTTGGGGGTATGCAGATGGCCATGTCCCGGGTCATAGACTTGCAGCATCATCGGATAGCTCAGGTGGGTGAATGTCACAGGTGTCCCTTTGTGTGATGGTGATGGTGAGTATTTGAGGGGTGGCTGATTGCAATGTCACAGATGTCTGTTTGTGTGGTGATGGTGAAGGTTATGGGGCATGCAGATGGCCATGTCACAGATGTTCATTTGTGTGGTGATGGTGAAGGTTATGGGGCATGCAGATGGCCATGTCACAGATGTTCATTTGTGTGGTGAAGGTGAAGGTTATGGGGCATGCAGATGGCTATGTCACAGATGTTCATTTGTGTGGTGAAGGTGAAGGTTATGGGGCATGCAGATGGCTATGTCACAGATGTCCGTTTGTGTGGTGATGGTGAAGGTTATGGGGCATGCAGATGGCCATGTCACAGATGTCCGTTTGTGTGGTGATGGTGAAGGTTATGGGGCATGCAGATGGCCATGTCACAGATGTCCGTTTGTGTGGTGATGGTGAAGGTTATGGGGCATGCAGATGGCCATGTCACAGATGTTCATTTGTGTGGTGAAGGTTAGGGGTAATGCAGATGACCATGTCACAGAGGCCCGTTTGTGTGACGGTAAAGGTTTTGGGGCATGCTAATGGATATGTCACGATATATCTAAGGTCAGTTTAAACTAAATGATGTCATCGATTAACCTGTTTGTCCTCTCTGGAATGCTACCTGAAGGTTTATCACCCTGAGACTGTAACTGACTCACAGAGTATGTTGAGAAAGGTTGAGACAGGCATGCTCCGTGCATAGTGGCAAGCATCGCTTTAGAGGTCCCGGGTAGTTAGCATCCTTTGGATATTTTCTCCAGGTCATGCTGGTGTGATGGGAAAGGAGCAGGCAGATAGACTGGCTAGTTGTGCACCACTTGGTGGTGAATTTTCTTCTTCTTCTTCTGCGTTCGATATCAGTCATGCTAAACATTGAGTCCCGTCTGGGTCACAAATAGGATTGTGCGTTTAAGGTCGCCACCGGTCCCCCATAGCTTCTCTTGCAATGTGGCTCCTTTGGGCCAGATCCACAGTCTTTGCTGGGAGAGGTTTGGGCAATACTGTAGTATGTACCCAGGGGTCTGTCTTTCTGCTCCACAATCACAGGCAGCAGATTCTTTTATGCCTATCCTGTACAAGTGTGCTCGAAGACCACAGTGTCCAGTCCGAAGTCTAAAAATTTATGTTTGTTCTTTCCTGTTGAGTTTGTTTATACTGTCACTCTCTGGTCTGTAATCTCTATTCTGCTTTCTTCACTCCCGCTTGAAAGACTGCATTAGCGCTGTTTTGGTTTCCTTGTAGCTGTGTGGTGGATGAGGTTGTGGAAGATTACTCCCAGCTTTTGCCAACTCATCTGCTCTCTCATTTCCTTGAATACCACAGTGGGCTGGTATCCACTGCAAGACCAGTTCTGCTTCCTTGGAGAGTAAGCCAATGTTGGTCCTTAGATCAGCAATTAGTTTGTCTTGTTTTTTGCTGGATAGTGCTTGGAGAACAGACAATGAGTCACTAAGTATAACAATTTGGTGCCCTCTGTGTTCTTGAGTGATGAGATGTTGGACTGCAGAGAGGAGGGCAGTTGCCTCAGCTCTGAAGTTAGTGCAGATGTCACCTGCTGGTAGAGAGAGAGTTTCTGCTCTACTGCAAGGGGGTTTAATGTAAATTCCACAACCCCCCTTTCTGACTGCATCTGTAGCAGAGCCGTCGGTGAAAACCTGAGTCCAAGTGGTGTTTGGATACTTCTCATAAAGCAAATGGTGAATTTATTTATGACAAGCTAGATGTTGTGAAGTCCCTTTGGGAGTGAGTGAACAGTGCAGAGGCACAAACAGATCATTACAGTCGGATTAGAATGGCACTGTGGAGAGTTTCCAGGGGATCTGGATGGCACTGAAAACTTAGAGGAAGGGTGAGATGGATGTACAGTTAGACAGTTGCTGGTACCGTCTGAATTAGACCTCTTCACTTGCTTCTGAAGATAGGGATGGATCGCTTATGGGAGTGTCACTAGTGCTATGATGTCAATTCTTAATTCAACATTTAACATGAGATTAAAAAGAAAATTTAATAAAAGTCTTTTTAATTTAAAAAAAAAAAAATTAATAAGCTGTGTAGAGTTGCTCGTTTTTTTATTTCAGAATGCCCAAGGCCAGTGACTGATTAAATCTTTTGGAAATAATAATTAAACATTCATCAGCTGGAAAACAAAAAAGTATCTAGCAAAATGATGAGGATGCTGGATGCATAGTTTAATTTAATTTAAATCTTTTCAGTTCCAGCAAATCTTATGGTGGATGCATGAATGGGATAGTAACCACAAGTATACACACAAGTGTTACCTTCAATGTGTATGTGCAAAAATGTAATGCACTGTGTGTTGAAAATCTGTCCAGATTTTTCTGGTGTGCTCATACCAAAAGTAAAAGATATTGTAACATACAGATCATTCTTAATGACACACAAGCTGAACATACATGATGTGTCTGGAACTGAAAGAATTACATTTCCAATGAACCTGTTTGAATGTGGGTATGTGTTTACACATAATGGAATACAAATAAACAAGAAACTTAAGATTTTTGCCACATTAAAAGAATAACACTTTTAAAAACCATTCTGGAGAGGACACTTGAAGGAAAGAGAGCAAGAGGTAGACAATGATGCAAGTTGGAGGACAACAACAAAAGATTATTGAGCTTAAAATTTGGAGGGTGTGTACTTCTGAGACAAGAGACAGGCAGTGATGGAGGTCCGTTGCAGCCAGCCCTCATTGTGGAGAGGGCACCTCATTGATTAAATCAGTTATATCTTAGTCTTCGTTCATTGTTTCCTTTCAGTGTCGAACAGTCAAAGTTACCATCTTAGGGGACGAAGGTGTTCCTGTGCAGGTGGACGGAGAGGCCTGGATCCAACCGCCTGGTTACATCAGGATAGTTCATAAAAATAGAGCCCAGATGTTGATTCGAGACAGAGTAAGTGCCTGTCTGTTTATTAGAGGCGGTGTTAGATTTTATTAGGAACTAGTATGGCTGAACCACATGGAATGAAAGTTGAATGCATTTGAAAACAAGTGCCTGAGGACTACATCCAGTGTCAGCGAACGCTTAATTAGAGATTAATGGTTTGTGCGTTTATTCTACCCACTTCCCCTCTCCCACCCCCCCTTTTGGAGGTGGGGGGAAGGGAAATTGGGCCCTTTGACCCACGTGGGGGGGGGGGGGGGGGGGAGGGGGGAAAACACTGATATTAGGCATCCTTAGATATGTAAAGTATATGGCATTCAGAAAAATATGTCATAACTGAACATTTGTACACTGTGTACGCTCCACCTGTTGACCCAAAAGTGAGGCCTTGAAGATGAAGAAGAAAGTGACCTGAAGGAGGTGAAGAAAGATATAGGGCTTGGTGTGATTTAATTGAGTCGGAACTAATCATGAAAGTCATCCTATCTCATTCGCTGGTGAGATTTCATGCTGGCTCCCACTCATGTTGTGCTAGTTTCCACGGGCTGTCCTGTGTTTTGGGGACGTTACAACGTAGCTTGGTTTACCGTGTTTACACACGGTATCGAAAAGTGGCTGCCGCATGTTTGTTTTCACAGCTCTATTTTCTGTAAAGGGTAGGTCTCAGGCGCCAAAGGCCCCTGCGTACGAGGACAGAGTACTGCAAAGGTAAGCGCCGAAGGCTTGACACTCTGTCAGTATAGAATCATTTATGTTTTTGTATTATTACGCTTGTTGTCAGTGGCTGTCTTCGCCTGTGGATCTGCCTGAAACAGTCAAAACAAGGATGAGAGGTTAAGAGTCTATACTCCATTGGGTGATAAGGGCAGAAAAAGATGAAGAAGAATTTACAGAAGCCACAAGCGCAGCATTGCATGCAACACACGGCACAGTTGCAGTAATGAATTTTTCTACTTACATCTGCAGACATTTGAAAATGTGCTGAAATCCTGGTCAGAGAAACAAAAGACAGATCGTCCAACCAGCCCACAGCCATTGTCTCTCAGTGAAGATGAGACCCAGGCATTGCTGAACTTTGTGGAGGCCACATCTGCTGTCATTCGAAGGTAAGCCAAAATAGTGGTCTAAGTTATAGAAATTGTGAGTGATACAAGGAAGTGTTGGTGTATGTGGGTGATACAAGGAAGTGTTGGTGTATGTGAGTAATACAAGGAAGTGTTGGTGTATGTGAGTGATACAAGGAAGTGTTGGTGTATGTGAGTAATACAAGGAAGTGTTGGTGTATGTGAGTGATACAAGGAAGTGTTGGTGTATGTGAGTGATACAAGGAAGTGTTGGTGTATGTGAGTAATACAAGGAAGTGTTGGTGTATGTGAGTGATACAAGGAAGTGTTGGTGTATGTGAGTAATACAAGGAAGTGTTGGTGTATGTGAGTGATACAAGGAAGTGTTGGTGTATGTGAGTGATACAAGGAAGTGTTGGTGTATGTGAGTAATACAAGGAAGTGATGGTGTATGTGAGTGAAACAAGGAAGTGTTGGTGTATGTGAGTGATACAAGGAAGTGTTGGTGTATGTGAGTGATACAAGGAAGTGTTGGTGTATGTGAGTGATACAAGAAAGTGTTGGTGTATGTGAGTGATACAAGGAAGTGTTGGTGTATGTGAGTGATACAAGGAAGTGTTGGTGTATGTGAGTGATACACGGAAGTGTTGGTGTATGTGAGTGATACAAGGAAGTGTTGGTGTATGTGAGTGATACAAGGAAGTGTTGGTGTATGTGAGTGATACAAGGAAGTGTTGGTGTATGTGAGTGATACAAGGAAGTGTTGGTGTATGTGAGTGATACAAGGAGTGTTGGTGTATGTGAGTGATACAAGGAAGTGTTGGTGTATGTGAGTGATACAAGGAAGTGTTGGTGTATGTGAGTGATACAAGGAAGTGTTGGTGTATGTGAGTGATACAAGGAAGTGTTGGTGTATGTGAGTAATATAAGGAAGTGTTGGTGTATGTGAGTGATACAAGGAAGTGTTGGTGTATGTGAGTGATACAAGGAAGTGTTGGTGTATGTGAGTAATACAAGGAAGTGTTGGTGAATGTGAGTGATACAAGGAAGTGTTGGTGTATGTGAGTGATACAAGGAAGTGTTGGTGTATATAGAGGATGGTAATAGAAATGTAGAGTGATACAAGTAGTAGTTGATGTACGATGAGGGAGGGGCTGTAGAAATGTACCGTGATACAAGAAGTAGTTTATGTCCATGGAGGATGGGCTGTAGAAATGTAACGTGATACAATGAATAGTTGATGGACATGAAGGGTGGGCTGTAGAAATTTAACGTGATACAAGGAATAGATGATGGACATAGAGAATGGGCTGTAGAAATGTTACGTGATACAAGAAATAGTTGATGTACATGGAGGAGGAGCTATAGAAATAGAGTGATATAAGACCTGTGATTTACATGGAGTAAGTAAGTAAGTAAAGTAAAGGTCCCTTTTCCACGCCTTTAGGCATAAAGGGCTAGACCTATATTTTTATAGACCAATTGGCACAAGATAGGTGATGTGGTCTGCATCACGCCGGCTGCCTTCACTTTCAAGTACTGCACACAATACCCACTCAAACATGGAGGATAGTTAAAGAAATATAGAGTTATACAAGAAAAGATTGGTGTACGTGGAGAATGGTAAAAGCAGTGTGGAGTTGTACAACAGAAGGTTGGTGTGCATCTAGGATGGTTATAGAAATGTAGAATGATACAAGGAAAGGATGGAGGATGGTTATAGAAATGTAGAATGATACAAGGAAAGGATGGAGGATGGTTATAGAAATGGGAAATGATACAAGGAAAGGTTGGTTATAGAAATGGGAAATGATACAAGGAAAGGTTGGTTATAGAAATGGGAAATGATACAAGAAAAAAAGATGGCGTACATGGAGGTTACATTATAGAAATGTAGAGGGATACAAAGAAAGGATTGTGGAAATACAGGGTTATAGAAGATATGAAGCTGTATAAATGATAGAGCCATAGATTTGCTTACATAGTGGAGCAATTGCTGGATAAACGGGGGTCTACATGGCATGTAGCCATTTGCCTCTGGCTCTGAATGTTGCAGGCTGTTATTAGGTTAAATTCTTCAGTTTGCAAAATCAAGTGTTTAGAGATCTCTGGAGTCACTACTAGAGCAACAGAGTTTGTACTTTTTGCAACAAACTCTCTTGCAGGCTACCAACTGCAGGGTAAAACCAAGCACAATGAAGTTGAACCTGTTGCTTCTAAACACCCTTTACCACAGTGGGTTTCTACCTTTTTTAAGTCAGGGCCCATTTTATAAAGGCAGAGTGATCTGAAACCCCAAACACCATAATAAAGTTGAACCTGTTGCCTCTAAACACCCTTTACCACGGTTGGTTTCTACTTTTTTCGAGTCAGGGCCCATTTTATAAAGGCAGAGTGATCTGAAACCCTAAACACCATATTGAAGTTGAATCTGCCGCCTCTAAACACCCTTTACCGCGGTGGGTTTCTATCTTTTTCGAGTCAGGGCCCATTTTATAAAGACAAAGTGATCTGAAACCCTAAACACCATATTGAAGTTGAATCTGTCGCCTCTAAACACCCTTTACCACGGGGGGTTTCTACTTTTTTCGAGTCAGGGTCCATTTTATAAAGACAAAGGGATCTGAAACCCTAATCACCATATTGAAGTTGAATCTGTCGCCTCTAAACACCCTATACCACGGGGGGTTTCTACTTTTTTCGAGTCAGGGTCCATTTTATAAAGACAAAGTGATCTGAAACCCTAAACACCATATTGAAGTTGAATCTGTCGCCTCTAAACACCCTTTACCACGGGGGGTTTCTACTTTTTTCGAGTCAGGGTCCATTTTATAAAGACAAAGTGATCTGAAACCCTAAACACCATATTGAAGTTGAATCTGCCGCCTCTAAACACCCTTTACCGCGGTGGTTTTCTATCTTTTTCGAGTCAGGGCCCATTTTATAAAGACAAAGTGATCTGAAACCCTAAACACCATATTGAAGTTGAATCTGTCGCCTCTAAACACCCTTTACCACGGGGGGTTTCTACTTTTTTCGAGTCAGGGTCCATTTTATAAAGACAGAGTGATCTGAAACCCCAAACACATAACATTTCTCATCGCTCATGTATCACTAAGAAAAGAACAGTCACAAGCCATGTAGAACGTACATTCTGCAGATAAGAGTGTAGGACAAAATAACGTGGTTTGTTATTTCCCATCTTAAAATGTTCACAGACAGGCCTTCACTATCCCTTTTGGGTGGGGCATCCATGCTTTACAACTATATACCAAATACACTTTGAAGCATGGCTATTCAGCTGGTTCTCAGAATACTGTGGCTCAAGAAGAGGAAAAACATTAACATTCTACATGAGTTAAACATCAAGTAGAACTGGCTCGTAAACAGAATCCTGTCCCGAAAGTTATAGTATTTTGGCCACATTAAACGTCACAGTGGCTTGGAAAAGACGGGGATGGAGGGTACAGTTTGTGGGAGGCAAGACAGGGTCGACCTCCGCACAAAATGGATCCAGGACACTGAATATCTATTGGCATTGAAAGCGCATGGGGCCGGAGAGCTGGCTAGGAATATTTTTAGGCGTGCCTGAAGAGAGCGACATTCTGTGTAACGGACCTGCTGATTGATGATGATTTCGCTGGCAGCCCAAGGGCCAAATCTGAAGAGGCCTAGCAAGTGGCCTGCGGATCATTATATATTCTATATCCTCTTCTTGTCACTGTTGACACATAAGGCATTCACAAGTCATCTACATTGCTACCAATCTGCTGCTTTTCTGCCCATGGTGTCCCATGTCAGTTTACATTCCTTCATTTCCCGTTCTACTGTCCTTCTTCAGATTTCCTTAGGTCATCCACATCTCCCATCTGCTGTCCACCGAAGAGCTGTTTTTGCCAGAGTGTCACAAGGCATTCTGCAAACATGTCCAAGCCATCTCCATTGTCTCACTTTGATAATATTTGCCAGTGATGCACATTCTGTTCTCCTCCTCAATTCTTCATGTGTGATCTTGTTTGGCCAAAAAATTCCGTCCAATTCTCCTTAAACATTTATTTTGAAAAGTCTCAAGTTTAGGTGCAATTATGAATCATTGCCAGTTGTATTATATTAATGATCTTTCTGTACTAGGGCTTGGGCCCTCTGGCCCCTGACGACCCTCATTGTCAACATTTTAATCCCCTGAGTAAACTTAATTGCCTAACTTTGCTCTAAAGCGTGGAGTTGGGGCCTTTACTTGTTATGTCTAAAATCCTCAGTGTCAAAGTAGCGGCCAAGGTCCATAGATCTGTGGAACATGAGCTCATCCCCATTGCACAGCAGACGTCAGAATGTGTGGACAGGTTGTACCCAGCAGGAAAGATGGCCGAGGTGAGTGCCTGCTAATTGTCAGTGTCTGTAGAAGTTGTCAGGTGTCCTTAATCTCATCAGTGTCCCTATGTTTGAGTGACAGTTTTCAAGCAGCACCCGTACCAAACTCAGATTTTGAGTTAGGATTCCATTGTCGTTTGTTGTGATCCCACAGAATTTGTCGTTTGTCAACACGTGCTGAGAAAATCATGAAGACAATGTCTTTGTACTTTTTTCAATTTTTTTTTTTTTTTTATAAATGATAAAACATAGGCATTGATATTAGAGCATCCAGATCAAAAGAATGGCAATTTTGTTAAATCGAGGTAAATGTTGAATAAAATCACACAATATACTTAAATTTTGCAATAATTTCAAAATCCAAAAGTAAATTATATGATAATATCAAAGTAAAGTAAGGTTTGATTATAAAGTTAATTTTTTGATCACCTAAAAGTAAATTTTACTGTGTGTCCTCTCCAGTACCATTGTCTTTTTGTCGCTCTATTGCTACCTAAATATTGTTATGACTCCATCTCCTGAGGAAGCTTGAGTTATTTATTAGGAGTCTAGTTACTTGATTTATTCTCATTATCTGTGTCTTTCCCCCAATGAATTTTTAGCTCAGGGGCTGATTGGCTTCGAGTGCTGGAGGTCCCAGGTTCAAGCCCTGGTGAAGGCTGGGCTTTTTTTTTACATGGACTTCTAGTAATTTCCCCAGGCCTCCGGGTAAGTAAGATTGGTCGCCCATGTGTATTCTTGCGCACATAAAAAAAATTCCTTGGCAGCTGGAAATTGAAAAGACTAGCCTAACATTGCTGCCCGGGCAAAATTTGGAGTTTAAAATCTACCCAAAGTATTTCAGGATCCTCGCCGGTGCAGTGGAGTTCTTGGACTGTGCTGAAATTTATCAGACTCAGGCTTGAGTTAGTTGAAGTAGAATGGAGCACTTATGGGTTACACCCCTGTGCCATGATGTTGATCCATCGAACAAACAAACAATAAACAAACAAGCAAATGTTAACCTCTAATTATTGTGACTTCCTATCAAGCAAGTTTAATGTCTTGTGTTTTCCTGTGTCAAACACAGTGACGGTGCCATAGGTTGTCTAGATTAGTCAAATCAGTTAGCCAACATGTCCTTTACAAAACATCACTCTTTTCACAGCACGTCAGAAATTCTCTTTTTCTGTAGCCAATTCTCCAGCCATGTGTGCTTTCATAGTCAGTGCTTCTTCAATGTCCTGTATCCACCTTCACGGAGGTTGACCTCTGCCTTTTGTCCAGATCATCAAGCAGTATTATCAGTAGTAGTCAGTAAGAATAATTAAGGTGACAAAAGGCATCCTCATTTCTTCTGTTCTCATTTCAAATATATGTTATTTTTTCTCTCATGGAAAGTATTTTTTTTTATAACTTTGTATTTTACTTTTATTAAATTAATAATTAAAATTTGATTTCTTTTAAGTTCAAACATATTTTAAACTCAAAATGCAGAGATTTAAGTTGTGTGAGTGCCTGATCCTCTCTGTGCAGGCATTATGTCCATTTTAATTTATGAAAAACAAAATTGTCTTTTGATTTTCTCAGAATTTGTCATTGAGATTGCACTTTTTTCTGGCATGTCTGCATCACGTTTTTTTTTTTAATGTCACTTTCTGGGGGGAGGGGGAGCGGGGGTATTCATGATTAAAAATTGTGACAAACGACTACCTTTGAATGGACACGTAAATTATAATATTATTCCTGAGAGATTCAGACAGGAAGTTGTTTTTAAATAGTTTTTTTTTTTTTTTTTAAATACTGCTGGATGTGTCTTTATGTGTAAGATCTATGGCCATAGTTGTCACACTGCATGTTTATGTTATATTACACTTGTGTGAGTGAATGTTAAACTGTATACTTCACTTATATGTGAATGTTAAACCGTTCCCTTCACTTATCTGTGAATGCCAGTTTGTTTTTTTGTTTTTTTTTATTTAGTTTTATTTATTTTAATTTGTGTGTGATTTTCAGATTTGTTTCTTGTTAGTGATGAATGTTACAATACATGTATGTTTTCTCCCTTCACTCCTTTCTGGTTTTATAGACTTATTTTCCTTTCTGTTTTCTAATCTTCAGTTGTTTTTTTTTTTTTTTTTTTAAACTTTTCCTCTCATTATCTTTTTCCTGTTGTAATGACTTAAAATTCTTTTCCTGTTATCTTCCTTACTATTATAATATCTGACATTTCTGACTTCCCATGTTTTTACTTTTATTTTACAGGTTTTACATCTATTTTTCATTCCTTCATAGCAGTCTTACATTTCTCCTATCATATTCCAGTCCCGTAATTTATTTATTTTTTTTCAACTTAAATGCCTATTTTCCCCATTGTTTTCTATTGATTTGTAGTCTTCCTGTCAAAATTTTAGCTTTTTGATTATAAATTTGTTTTTCAACTTTTTTCTTGCTCCTCAGTTTCCTTGTCTTACTATTTATTCTGCAGTGACATATTTTTATCTACTTATTTTATTCAATAGGCTTCGCAGTCTTAACTGTTTTGTTTTTATTTTAATCTACATTTCCTATTCAGGTGTGCTTAATCGTACTGATTTGTTCTCATATTTCATAAAAAAAATTATTTGTTAAATGTTATTTCCAGATTTAGCTGGCCGAACAGTTAAGAACGCTGGGCTCTCATGCAAGAGACCTGGGTTCAAATTCTCAGTAAGGTTGGGGGGTTTTTCTGTCGTTTGGGGCAAAAATAAAATCTGAACCTGCACAAAGTCGAGGGGGACAGCAATAGCCTTGTGGTCCTGAATCCTTAGGCTCAGATCCCCCCCCCCCCCTTTCCCCAAGGCAGTAATGGCAGTTTTTTTTTTTTTTTTTTTTTTTAATTTCAATATTATTGTTGCATTTCAATTTAAAAATTACAATTCTGTTTTACTTGATTGTTTATTATTCTCGCTTATCACTGGTCATTTCTTCAGTTTTGTCATTATCAACTTGTCAACTGTTCATGTACTTCATTTCCTTAACTTTGTTAACATCAGGTATTCTCCTGATCATTGACATCAACTATTCTCCCAAATCCTGTCTGTTTCTCTAAACTTTGACATCAATGACATCAGCTGTTTATCCAAATGACACCTCATCATTCTCTTAACTTTGATACCATCACTATTCTCCCCAAACACCTCTTATGCCCTCAGCTTTGGTGTCATCAGCTGTTTATCCAAATCATATTTCATTCTTCCAACTTCCATATTATCAATAATTCTGCAATATGACATGTCGTCAAATTTGACATCTTTTCTATTATCCTAGACCACCTCTCTTTCCTCAAGTTTCACCTCATCAGCTATCTTCCCTGATCACATCTCCTCCCTCAAGTTTCACATCATCAGCTATTTTTCCTGACGCATCTCTTCCCTCAAGTTTCACATCATCAGCTATTTTCCCTGATTGCATCTTTTCTCTCACATTTTACTTCATATGCTGTTTTCCTTTACCACATCTCTTCCCACAAGTTTCACATCATCAACTATTTTCCCTGATTACATGTCATTCTCTCGAGTTTCACATTATTAACTAATTTCCCTGATCATTTGTCATTCCCTTAAGCTTCACATCATCAACTATTCTCCCTGACCACATCTCTTTCCCTTATGGTTCACATCATCAACTATTCTACCTGACCACATCTCTTTCCCTTAAGGTTCACATCATCAACTATTCTCCCTGACCACATCTCTTTCCCTTATGGTTCACATCATCAACTATTCTCCCTGACCACATCTCTTTCCCTTAAGGTTCACATCAACTATTCTCACTGATTACATGTCATTTCTTTAAACTTCTTGTCCGTGGCCGTAGATGGACTCCAGTGACAGTGAAACCTACCAGGTTGGCCTATATCTTTGAGTCATCGATGTTGTTACAATGTGCTTGCAGTATTCAGTATTGTCTGTTGTTGCTGATGGTAATCTGCACCTCATGCCTGGCTATGTTGTTGTTGATATTGTTTAGTCTCCTAATATTAACCAGTTAGTGATATGTTTGTTCTTTGTTGTACATACGGCTCAATGATGGTAGCCATTAGATAACTTTAGAGGGAAGGGATTTCATGTTATAGGGGTTAAGTCGCTTGCCTCAATCTGAAGGTTGAGAGTTTGATTTCAGGCAGTTCTGTGCTTTGCAAGTGCAGGTATTTTGAAGATCTCTGAAAGTACAATTAACAGTTTTATGTTTTAAGCTATGCTCTGTGGGAGGGGGCACTTGGTCACTCTGCAGACAGAGACAGATCAATATAAGAAAAAGCTTGATGCATTTCTTCTTCTAGTTCTTCTTTTTTCTTCTATGTTCACCCTTCGAAAGACAATTGACGCTTTGTGTTGTGGCTTACAACTAGGCTGCAATTTCTGCAGCTTTCAGCCAGACACATCTGATTTCAGCATGTCCTTCATTGGTCGCCTTTTACGATATGCTGAGAAACAGTTGGTGTCTGTGACTTAGGCGTTGTGAGCATGCTTCACAATTCTAACGTACCGGGTTTGATTACAGCTGCGGCTGATTTGGCAGCAGACTGCCTTGCGTAACAAGCATGTTGTAAGAGGTGACTAATTAGGGGAGTTTCCTTTTAAGTCAGGGTGTGTCTGCCTGAGAGTCGAGGAACCAACAACCTGAAGCCAGGTCTGTTGAATCTTGAATTAAGAATCGATAACACAGCACTCAGGACACTCCTATAAGCACTCTGTCCCCCTCTTCAGCAGCAAGCAAAGAGTTCCAACTCCTGTGGTATCAGTAACTTTCTGATTTTATATCCGTCTCGCCCTTCACCTAAGTTCTGGAACGAGATCAAAAATCCAGAAGTGGACAAGCAACGAGAACTTTCTACCAGAGTTTACAACTGATAAACACACAGAAGAAGAAATACTGCATCATCTGTGTGTAACTGCTTAAAAGTGATCATTTTTTTTTTTCATAACATACATCGAGCGGACTTGCTAAATCTATCATGAGCTGCTTTATGTTGTCCTCAGCGTTTGTGTTTGTCTTGTTTGCATCTGTCAGTGCTGCTTTACTCTGCTTCAGTTTACTAATACATGGTCCGTGTTGAGCATTGTGAAATCATGACTGTTATTTATAAGGAACAATCTGATGCAAGATGACTTGCGGAAATTTGAACAAGAATCACAGCTGCAAAAGGGGCCTTTAGTAAGATGCAGCACATACTTACCAGTAAGAAGTCAGTTGAGTGAATGAATGAATCAATCAAGAATTGACATCCCTGCACTCGGGACATTCCCACACATGCTCCGTCTCCTTCCTTAGTAGCCAACAAAGAGTTTGACATAATAATAGTACCAGGTGCAACATGATTAAAAGTCCGCCTGTGCCCCCCTCCACCCCCCCCCCCCCTAATTGTTGAATGCCTTCCATAACCTCTACTCACCCCTGTTTAAATTAATCTTTTAATATATGGATTCTCTGTCTCTTCTATTGCACTGTCCATTTTATCCCAGAAAGTCTTCATTATATCCGCTTTATAAAGTAGCTCACCACCCAGAGGAGCAGCAGAGGCCAACCTATCAGCCTGCCCATTACCCCGCACACTGATCTGAGTCTTATCACATGATGCAAGCCACTCTATGCATAGGACATCAGTTTCAATTTTCCGAAGCATACTCTGTCAGCCAGTTACGATTACAAAATGTTGAGCTGTATCCATCAGAAAGCTGCTGTTACTGCCTCCACCTCCATTCTCATACAGAATGTTGTGAATTTATTCGCGAGGCTCTCTGTTTTCAAACAGTGTCCGTTCACCTTTGCAACAAAACCCCACCCCTAACCTGTCACTGCAGACTCATCTGTGTATATATTATGGTGTCACCTGGGCGTGAAATTTCATTGATTAGCTCTTGCATTACTGTCTCCAGTCCACCAGCTATCCATTCCTGACACCCTCGGTCCAAGGTAACTATGACGCCATGCAAGACTGTTCTGCAGGGCTACACTATGATTTTTCCTTACCATGCGCTATTTTGTCAGAAATAAAAACATTTCTTATGTAGAACTTATATTGCAGGGCTAGTCAACTAAGTTGACTCAGGGATCAAAATGTTCAAAAATGGGGATCGTCATGGGCCAGAAGAACCAGCCCCATCATAGAAAGACCATAAATGCAATACAGTTAGCAGTGATCTGCGGGCCACATGCAAGGCCTTGGTGGGCCAGATTTGGCCTGCGGGCCGCCATTTAAATAACCCTGCTGTATTGTTATATGCATGTGAGACATGGACAATTTTAAAAAAATTATCCGCTGCAAAAATTTAGTTTCTGAGAAGAATGAAGTGAATATAATGGAATGATTGAAAAACAAACAAAGCAGTCTTTATTAAGACACTGACAGTCATGAACTTATTATAACAATTAGATATGAAAGGTCAATGCGTTTTTGTGTGTGGACATGTTATTAGGAGGACTGGACTCAAAAACTTGGTCAAAACTGACAAGATTGATGGAAAGAGTGCAAGAGGAAGGCAAAGAGATAAATATCTAAATAGTTTAGCCACATGGAGCGAGACAAGCACATTGAACTGATCCTTGGTTCTGGTGATCATGTGAGATAGTGAAGTATAAGAGGCTTCATTTACCGGCATGCACATTATGATGATAATGTTAAGTATTGAGTTGGAGTCCTTTGACAATGGAGGATTTTATTTTGTATTTTCCCAATCTAGATTTGCAACCTAAGCCAGTGACTCACAAAGCTACATTACAGATGGTTTCTTCTTCGCATTCATTGGCCATAAACTCCTGCGGGAAATTCTGGTTTTCGTCTACTTCTGGACTTTAGTCTTCATCCAGAACCTGAGTGTTGTATGCACATCTGTTTTACAGGTCTGACTTACTTCTTTGCAGATGGTTGATTCCTTACCTCTCAGGTGGATGCATTCTGACTTCGAAGGAAGCCCCCGATTAGTTGACTCTTATTACCTGCTTTTAGGGAGGCAGTGGGTCGATTCTTGTTTTCCCCACAGTCAGAACCCAACATGAAGAAACCTCAGACACCCCATTCAGCCATATATACTTCTTCTTCTTCTTCTTCTTCTTCTTCTCCTCCTCCTCCCTCCCTTCCTTCCTTCCTTCATTCCTTTTTCTTCTTTTTCTTCTTCTTCTTACTGTTCACTGTCTACAAACTCCAGCAGTAAGTTCTGATTGTTTGTCCACTTCTCATACTTTTATAGCACTCAATGGGTGATGCGGTCAACATCACCCTGGCTGCCTTTACTTCTCCAGACTTTACCTGGTACCCATTTTAGGCTGGTTCGGTCTCGATTTTTTTTTTTTTTAATCCAACTTGATGTGGATGCAAAGCTAAGACCTTTAGGCTAGCAGGCAAGTGTCTAGCCACTACACTGCCAAAGCTACCTAGATCCACTATACAATTCAATAAATGCTATGTGCTAACATGTGTGTGTGCACTCAGGCACATAGACTGGTGGGTGCAACTAATATGTACTGGGCAGCCATATCAGTTTTTTTGGTAAAATTAAAGACATCAGTTGTAATAATCATTCCCTTTTTTTTTTTTTGGCAAAGCTTTCAGTGTTGTATTTATGTATGTATGTATGTTTATTTTTTGTCTGTATGTAACATATATTATGTGTTGTGTAAGCATTCATACATCACCATTATTAGCCACAATATATAAGTCAACTTTCTTCTAAATTCCCCCTTAAAAAAGCAGTTGGCACATTATACTTTCAGCTAGGTTGTGATATCTAAACTTTTTTTTGGGCCCAACACATCTGATTTCAGCAAACCCCTACTTAGTAGCCTTTAATTACATGCTTATTATTGGGCAATGAGTCTAATTCCCCCCCCCCCTTTCCACCCCAATGGGTTCCCTAGACCCACATGGTTATTACTGAGGAAAATGACTTTATTTTTTTTTTTTTTCTGTGCACGGCTCCTTCCTAAATTTTTGACCACCCCTGCAACTCAAAGAGTTTTATCTTGGATGGCAACCCAGCAGGGCAGATCCCAGATACCCCTTTCAAACTACTACTCCTTCACAAAATCCATGCTGTGTGGCAATGGCAGTCATGTCTAACAACAAACTTCTGTCTTGTATACTTTCAAGCAATTCTAACTCATGACCCTCCATGCCATGATGTTAAACTGTCCAGCATGTTTTCTCTCAGTCTCCCTCTGTCTGGTTTCCCCACCAGCGTTCCCACCGTCACTTTGTACTCCACTTCTGTTTTCTTTTTCTCATGACATGGCCAAAGAATGTAGATTGTCTCCTTCTGATGTGTGCAATCAGTTCTCTTTGTGAGCCCATTTCTTCCCATTCATCATCATCACTTTTTTTTATCTGTCCAGGGTATTCTCACTTCTCGTCTATAAAACCATGTCTCCCCTGCTTCCAAATAACTTTTGACTATTTGTCCAACAGTCCATGATTCACTTCCGTATATCAGCATGGGATTTTTATAGCCCTTGAGAAATTGCTTTCTTGTCTCAACGACTGCGTAGAATATTCTTCATTTTGTAAAATGCTGCCTTTGCTTGAGTTATTCAACATTTAACTTCTTTGATACGTTTTCTGTCTGTTGTTATGTTCACTTCTTAAGGAGTAACTTTGATGCTGCATTATGGGGAGGGTAAGTTTTCTTTGTATTGACCATTACTTGTGTTTTCTGCTGTTCAAACTAAGACCCTTGTTTTGACTTTCTGTCATAATTATGTCCATGATTTCTTGCTAGTGTTTTTCATTTCAAATGATTTAAATCTTCTAAGAAGTTATAATTAGCAATCCCATGATGTCTGCATCAGAGATTACCTTGTTTGTTTAAGGCAGGCAGAGGCAGGGAAAACTAAAACTGTATCCATTTTCCCTTTCAGTCTGTATCCATGTTCCTCCTTCCATCTGTATCCATTTCCCATTTTCATCCATATCCATTTTCTCCTCATCCATATCCATTTCCCCCTTTAACCTGTATCCATTTTCCCCTTTCAATTCATATCCATTTCCCCTCCAATCATATCCATTTTCCCCTTTCATCCATTTTCCCCTTACATCCATAACCATTTCCCCCTTCCATTCATAACCATATTCCCCATCAACCTGTATTATCTATTTTCCCCATCAACCTATATCCATTTTCTTCTTCCATTCCTGACCATGTTTCCCCTCCAAGCTGCTACCTGAAGGTTTGACTGCTCTGATATTATGAAATATCAGTCTGGAGGGCAAGCCAACTGGGCAAAACCCAGGTGCCCGATTCAGCCTCTGAAGAAGTTATAGTGTCAGTGCAATCAGTCCTCTAACATCCCGCCCTGTGTTCTGATGTCCCTTTGTGGGGAAGACAAGAATAGACCATATGCCTTCACAGCAAGCATATCGTAAGAGTTAAATATTTGGGAGCTTCCTTCGAAGACGGAGTGCATCTGCCTGAGAGGCAAGGAACTAATAATTTGCATACTGGTGAGTCAGATCTATGAATGTGCATGGAACACTCAGGTTCGAGAATAAGACTAAAGTCCAGAGGTGGAGGAACACCCAGAACTTTCTGCCGAAGTTTGCAGTCGCTGAACACGAAGAAGAAGAAGAGGAGTCTATTAACAAATCCACTATTCAACTCCCTTCGTGCAATCCAATGTAAATTTTAAAATAAAAAGGTTTTACATTCACCTCAGTTTTATATCTAGGTATAAAGAAGGCCAATTCTCTATTTGAAGTACAGTTTCCGAGTGGAAAGAAGACATTCTCTATTTGAAGTACAGTTTCCGAGGGGAAAGAAGACATTCTCTATTTGAAGTAGAGTTTCCAAGTGGAAAGAAGACATTCTCTATTTAAAGTAGAGTTTCTGAGTGGAAAAAGACAGTCTCTATTTGAAGTAGAGTTTCCAAGTGGACAAAAGACATTCTCTGTTTGACTTAGAGTTTCCAAGTGGAAAGAAGACATTTTCTGTTTGAAGTAGAGTTTCCAAGTGGAAATTCAGTAATAATTTTATCCACATCCATATTTATCTATTTACGGGAGCCGCAATGTTGTAGTGGCTAGATGCGTGTGGATCAGGACATGGTCTTAGGTCCTGAAAAAGCTGTACTTTTCAAAAAATGACTTTGGCTGCCAAGTTCACCCAGCCAAAAATGGGTACCAGGTACATTCCTGGGAAGTAAATGCGGCTGGCATGCTGTTGACCACATCGTCCACTATGTGCCGATTATTCTATAAAATATAGGTCTAGCAGTATGTGCCCTATATGCCTGAAGACATGGAACTGGGTGCTTTAACGTAGTTTAAATTTATAATTACATATTGTAGCTGGCATAGTGTGGATCAATGTTCCTCAACTCTTTTACACCCGTGGCCCACAAAAACAGAGGAAATTGTTTCGCAGCCCACCAGACAGTTAGCCAAACACAGAAACAGAAGTGACTGTACATAGCAGTAACCTTGTTAAATATTATGTCACCCAGTTACAACTGTCGGCTAATGCTGCATCTGCTGTGGCTCAGAGGTTACAAAAAACATCTATGTGTCTCAGCAGGGTTTCTGGGATTTGTACCTGGTTTGATTCTCATCCTTGAGATGTTAATCCTATAGAATGCAATCCTGTAAGAGAAAAACTAGTTACATCATTGAGCAAAACATTTTGGTGGCCCATTTGCACTTTTCCGCGGCTCGTTTAGACTCTTCCGCAGCCCATTTGGACTTTCCTGCAGCCCATGTGGACTTTTCCCGCAGGTCATGGATTGTAGAACACTGGAGTAGAGGCTAGGCTGTCCCCTGGCATCCTGAAGATCAACTTCGCAGTGAATTTGGTTTGTGAAAACTGATGTTGGTTTCCAGGGTACCAGCTAATGTCCTGGGTAGTAACATTGAGCCGTGTGATCTTGAACACATTGCCCTTCAAGTGTGGATTGCTCTCTTGGAGTGTAGTCTAGCTCTGTGTGCCTTAGCCCGGCTGGCTAGAGTAGTTGGTTAAACCTAACTCTGTGGCGACCGGGTGACGAACTCCTTGTAGTCTGGGTTCACACGCGTTGGTAGGCAGAAAAGCCACATTTCTCCTAGATTTACGGTAGGCAGAAAAGCCACATTTCTCCTAGATTTACGGTATCTTTCATGAAATCAAGGGCGAAGGGTTGTGATATCCATAGTACCAAGCCAAGGGGGTTAACAATATGGTTTCTGGATGTTTAAAAAAAAAATGCTTTGTGTCTGATTAAATGTGTTTGAACAAGGAAGACACACATTTTTACAATTAAATTTGATTGTAGTTTGCACCTGATGAGATACAGCGAAATATGCCAGGCAGTAAATTGTGCAGTCTATTAATAGTTTGGGCCTTCTTTGTTCAAGTTTACTAGGGGAAAGAAACATTGCTTTGGTGAAGTTCCTGTCCTTTGATTGCTGTATGATTATTGTATCCCATGTAATCTGTTGTCAGTGTATCAAGCTGTTAATGTTTGCTATATTTGATTGCTTGCACAAATGATTCCATTTATAAAACATTTTTTACTGCACACGTGATGAGTCACATAATTATTTCACAGTATGTTTTTATTTAGTTAGAGAAATAAAGGTATCTAGAAGAAAATCTTCTTCTTCTTCTTCTCCCTCCTCCTCCTCCTCCTCCTCCTGCTTCCTCTTCTTCATCTTCTTCTTTGTCTTCTGTTTCTGCTTCTTCTGCTAGCCAGTCTGCAGAGAGAGACTGAGCCATGTGGGATAAAACCCGGTGCAATAAAGTTGATCCTCTCGACTTTAACATTCAGGTTCAGCACACTTCTGATAAGTCACCTTTTAGGACATGCAAGTATGAGGGGAGGAGTGGGGGTTCTGTCCCCCTGGGAGAGGGAAGAGGGTGGGTCTGTCCCAGGGGGAGGTGAGTGTCCACAGAAGGAGTGGGTCTGTCCACAGGGGGAACGGGTCTGTCCCCCTGCCCAGTAGGATCCTGCAACCAACATAAGGATGATAACATTATAGGGTGTCCCATATGTTTCCATACATAAGAAAAATCAACATCATATGCCCCATTACAAGCACAACTCAAGCTGTGCTTACACGTGTTCTTCAGCAGTGGAGCACACGTATCAAAAAGTGTTTTCAAAACATTTGTGTTTTTTTTTCTTATGTATTGAAACCTGTGGGACAGCATGTAGAGTGTCCTTGCACTGAAACCCAGCAGGTCAAAAGCATAATAAAGGCATGAAGAGATTGAGATAAAAACACTGGGGAAGAACCTGGGCTTACAATAGCAAAGGATATGATGGTTGTGTAAGGGCATATTTGTTTTTAGGAGGTAAGTGGAAGTAAAAAAGATAGTTCATTTCTTATTAATGATTTCAGCAAACACGCACACTGTTTTGTCAAAATGTTATTGAATGTAACAACTTTTGTGTTATTTAAATTAGTCAGCTATGGGGCTTTAGATTTTATTCAAGTGAAATAAAACTATTCACATGCAGAGAAACTGTTACATAACCTACAGACGAATCAACTTTATCCAGCAGTGATGTTATTTTCAACAAAATTTAATACAGTAATGTATTTTCAACAAAAAGTTATAGTCTTATCACTAAACCATCATATTTGGCACTTTAGAAATATTTCTTCCTTATATGAGTAGGTTTTTGATATCATCAGTTTTTGCAACCTGATGCAAGAAGCAGTATCTGAAACTCATGATAATTGTTGAACTCCACTTGTGATTGGGTCAGTCTATAACTGAGTATAAATTTGTTCCGTTGTTTGTCTTCCACAGCCAACATTACGCAGTCAAGTTGTTGATCTGGTCCATGCTGTGCGGATACTCTACCATGAAGCCAGCATATTCCTCACTGAAAAGTCAACCTCACATCTGGTTAGTCTCTTAGATGTGTCATTATTATTGAATCATCAACCTCACATCTGGTTAGTCTCTTAGATGTGTCATTATTATTGAATCATGAACCTCACATCTGGTTAGTCTCTTAGATGTGTCATTATTATTGAATCATCAACCTCACATCTGGTTAGTCTCTTAGATGTGTCATTATTATTGAATCATGAACCTCACATCTGGTTAGTCTCTTAGATGTGTCATTATTATTGAATCATTAACCTCACATCTGGTTATCTCTTAGATGTGTCATTATTATTGAATCATTAACCTCACATCTGGTTAGTCTCTTAGATGTGTCATTATTATTGAATCATTAACCTCGCATCTGGTTATTCTCTTAGATGTGTCATTATTATTGAATCATCAACCTCACATCTGGTTAGTCTCTTAGATGTGTCATTATTATTGAATCATGAACCTCGCATCTGGTTAGTCTCTTAGATGTGTCATTATTATTGAATCATCAACCTCACATCTGGTTAGTCTCTTAGATGTGTCATTATTATTGAATCATTAACCTCGCATCTGGTTAGTCTCTTAGATGTGTCATTATTATTGAATCATTAACCTCACATCTGGTTAGTCTCTTAGATGTGTCATTATTATTGAATCATCAACCTCGCATCTGGTTAGTCTCTTAGATGTGTCATTATTATTGAATCATCAACCTCACATCTGGTTAGTCTCTTAGATGTGTCATTATTATTGAATCATCAACCTCACATCTGGTTAGTCTCTTAGATGTGTCATTATTATTGAATCATCAACCTCACATCTGAGCAGTCATATGTGTTGTTATTACTGAATCATTTACCGTGGCGCTGTGATATTGGTCACAGGCATGAAAGAAAGTTAAGGCCGTTGTGATATGTATAAGGAGTTACTCCATACCTCACCTCTGGCACCAGTCAACACTTAAATCCCTTAGTTAAAACGTCTGTCGAGTAGGAAGAACTACTGTACTGATGAGATTCAGCCCAAAAACAAGAGATTTTTTAGGCCTAGACAAGTAATATCTCTTGCCTGCGCTTACTTGTGGAACAGTCCTGTCTCCGAACATCCCTGTGCTGTTCCTCAACGTTGTCGTCACTGTTTTGGGGTACACCACGACAAACTGTCAGTGTGCTGGTTTTGTTTAAATGTCTGTCTGATACATGTCAGTGGCATAAAAACAAAGTCCTGAATTTCCGACCGAAAAAGTCCCACAAATTGGCTGAACGGCTTACATGCCCATTACCGTTGGCACCACTGGCCAGAATTTGGGACCTAAAAAGGGGGGGGGGAGCCATGCTGGATGCCCGCCTTTGCCGTACTGTCTTGCTAAGTTTCCAGATGAAACAACGTTAAAGGTGTCTAATTTGCCCCCCAAAAAATGTACCGATTAGTGTGGCCATTGATGTCTCAGACCTGTGGGCTGCTCCTTGCTTATTCCCGGTGGATCCAACCAGTGCTGATTGGAAAGTTCAACATAAGGATGTGGGGTTGAAGATTAGGCAGACATGTGCAGGACGTTACGATTCCTTGGGCGAGCCCAGAACCAGAGCATCATGTGTCGGCTCTGCATTTATGCAAGCCTCCTTGGATGGCAGGAAATGTCCAGGATCTGCCCCTGCCTTTCCTTGAGAGCCAAACTGCCTACATGTGGATGCCCTGGACAGGTTCTCCAGGGTCAGGACCTGTAGACAAGAGAACATCACACAAATAAGGCCACAGCATGTCCCTGTCTCACGATGCTATCCGAGAAATGAACCCGGTCAACAAATGCTTGATGAAGTCATATGTATTGGCCGAAAGGTGCAAATACTGCAGCTCTGCTGTAAACAGGGATAATGCATTTACCTCACTCAGACGAACAGAAAGAAGAAGAATCGTCAACATCACCAATGTGGTCAATGTATTAGGTGTATCATTATTACTTTCACGTCTAGTCAGTGTGTTAAATATGTCGTTATTACTGAATCGTTAACCTCGCATCTGATCAGTGTTTTAGATGTGTTGTTATTACTGAATCGTTAACCTCATATCTATCTGGTCAGTGTATTAGATATGTCTTTATTACTGAATCATTAAATTCACATCAGGACAGTGTGTTAGATGTTTGTTTTCTGTGAATGTCCACTAGTTAACATCCTTCAAATGAAAGAAACTAAACTGTATCTCTTTGAGCTTCTTTGTGCGGATTTTGGATTAGCTTGACCATTTTCACAATGGTCAGAAACAGAACCTATACATAAAAGAGCAATAAGCACATCTTCTTTTTAGTCACTGGTCAGTACCTATGATATAATATGATCAAAGCACGCAGCTCAAGGCAGTGCAGCACAAACAGGTTTCAAATTAGCATTGTGAATATGTATTAGACATGCCATTGTTACTAAATACTAATGATGTGTCTGGTCAGTATAAGTATTAGATATGTCATTGTTACTGAATACTAATTATGTGTCTGGTCAGTATAAGTATTAGATATGTCATTGTTACTGAATAGTAATTATGTGTCTGGTCAGTATAAGTATTAGATATGTCATTGTTACTGAATAGTAATTATGTGTCTGGTCAGTATAAGTATTAGATATGCCATTGTTAATGAATAGTAATTATGTGTCTGGTCAGTATAAGAATTAGATATGCCATTGTTACTGAATAGTAATTATGTGTCTGGTCAGTTTAAGTATTAGATATGCCATTGTTACTGAATAGTAATTATGTGTCTGGTCAGTATAAGAATTAGATATGCCATTGTTACTGAATAGTAATTATGTGTCTGGTCAGTATAAGAATTAGATATGCCATTGTTACTGAATAGTAATTATGTGTCTGGTCAGTTTAAGTATTAGATATGCCATTGTTACTGAATCAGCAGCCTCATGCCTAGTGTGTTTTAAATGTTTTGTGTCTGAAAATATTGGGTTCTTTATTAATATCCTACCCCAGATGACGTCACAGGACAGTTCAACATTTAGCAGGTGGGAAACCTGGGTTTCCCAGCTATCTGATGCTTTTAATGACCCCAAAATATCCAGAACTGGTCCCAGCCCCAACCCACCTACCTCCAACGAGGGAGTGCAGCCTAGGTCCTATGAATGCATGCAGCCTATCTACCACCCCCGGAAATATTAGACTGTTCCATGACTTGTGGATTTTCCATGTTTGGGGTAGGATATTAATAAAGTACCAAGTATTGCAGTTGGCTACCTGTATCTTCATACACTGTAAATTTCAGATTTGACATTTACTTCCTATGGCTACCAGAAAGGCTTGTAAATAATTTTTTCCAGCAGCTGTTAGACAGTGTTGTGATTAATTAGCTATTTCTCCTTACCACTGTGTAAAGGTCTTGTAAATCTGTAAACGTGTTTCTCCCTACAGCTGTCAGAAAGTGTTGTAAAAATGTTAGTTCTCTACAGCAGCCAGAGAGTGTAACTTATATGTTCCCTTCAGCTGTCAGAAAGTGTTGCAAAGTTGTAAACTTGTGTGTTCCACAGCTGTATAAACATTTTGTACCTGCAGTTTTTTAAACAGTTTTGTAAAGTTGTAAATATATTTCTCCCGACAGCTGTTGGATGTCTTGTAAAGTTATACACACATTTCTCCCCACAGCTGTCTGAAAGTCTTGTAAAGTTATACACATATTTCTCCCGACAGCTGTTGGATGTCTTGTAAAGTTATACACACATTTCTCCCCACAGCTGTCTGAAAGTCTTGTAAAGTTATACACATATTTCTCCCCACAGCTGTCTGAAAGACTTGTAAAGTTATACACACATTTCTCCCCACAGCTGTCTGAAGGTCTTGTAAAGTTATACACATATTTCTCCCCACAGCTGTCTGAATGTCTTGTAAAGTTATACACACATTTCTCCCCACAGCTGTCTGAAAGACTTGTAAAGTTATACACATATTTCTCCCCACAGCTGTCTGAAAGTCTTGTAAAGTTATACACACATTTCTCCCCACAGCTGTCTGAAAGACTTGTAAAGTTATACACACATTTCTCCCCACAGCTGTCTGAAAGATTTGTAAAGTTATACACACATTTCTTACCACAGCTGTCTGAAAGTCTTGTAATGTTATACACACATTTCTCCCCACAGCTGTCTGAAAGTCTTGTAAAGTTATGCACACATTTCTCCCCACAGCTGTCTGAAAGTCTTGTAAAGTTATACACACATTTCTCCCCACAGCTGTCTGAAAGACTTGTAAAGTTATACACATATTTCTCCCCACAGCTGTCTGAATGTCTTGTAAAGTTATACACACATTTCTCCCCACAGCTGTCTGAAAGACTTGTAAAGTTATACACATATTTCTCCCCACAGCTGTCTGAGTGTCTTGTAAAGTTATACACACATTTCTCCCCACAGCTTTCTGAAAGACTTGTAAAGTTATACACACATTTCTTACCACAGCTGTCTGAAAGTCTTGTAAAGTTATACACACATTTCTCCCCACAGCTGTCTGAATGTCTTGTAAAGTTATACACACATTTCTCCCCACAGCTGTCTGAAAGTCTTGTAAAGTTATACACACATTTCTCCCCACAGCTGTCTGAAAGACTTGTAATGTTATGCACACATTTCTCCCCACAGCTGTCTGAAAGACTTGTAATGTTATAAACATGTTTCTCCCCACAGCAGTCTGAACATCCTGTAAAGTTACAAACATATTTCACCCCAAAGCTGTCTGAAAGTGGTGTAAAGGTACAAGCTTGTTTCTCCCCACAGCTGTCTGAAAGTCTTATAAAGTTGTAAACTTGTTTGTCTCGCCACATCTGTCTGAAAGTCTTATAGAGTTGTAAACTTGTTTGTCTCGCCACAGCTGTCTGAAAGTCTGGAAGATCGGCTGATGTCTTCGCTGATTGCCCTGGAGTCCGAGATGAAGAGGATCATCGAGATGATAGGCCTGGTCAACCTGGAGGTCATTGAAGAGGTGAGAAAGACAGATTCAGTGATTGATTCCTGCTCTCAGGTTACCCTCGAAAAGTTATCCTTGAAATGATCCTCATGATCAAAATGTGTCTATAGACCCTGTCTGTACCACTAACACATTTCTGTAGACCCTGTGATCAAAACCTTTCTATACTTACTACATCTATGGTAAAAATATTTCCTATTTTCTATATATGTGGTCAAAAAAAAAAATTTTATATTACTGTATATATGATCAAAACATTTAAGTAAAGTAGTAAAGTAAAGGTCCCTTCTCCACGCCTTTGGGCCAAAACATTGTAGTTATTATATATGTGTGTGTATGTAAATATATGTATGTGTGTTTGTGTATATATATAAAAAAAAAGTAAAGATCCCTTTTCACGCCTTAGGCGCGTCGGACATATGGGAAGAGCGTCCCATATTTTTACAGACCAATTGGCATTGGGTTGGTAATGTGGTCAGCATTACGCCGGCTTAATCTACTTCCCCAGGGCAGCCATTCTGGTACCCATTTTAGGTCTGGTCAAACTGTGACGCCCCATACAATGATAAAAATCCAAGCAGCCAACAGTGGGTTTCGATCGCAGTACATTGTGAGTAGGACTCGCAACGCCTAAGCCACGGACACCGCATATATATATATATATATATATATATATATATATATATATATATATATATATATATATATATATATATATATATATATATATATATATATATATATATATATAAAATCAAAACATTTCTGTTGTTACTGTCTGTGACCTAAGATATATTTACTGTCTGTATGAACAAAACATTCTGAAATTAATTTCCTGTTTCTAATTTCTACAGGTAAATTTACTGGAGCATCACAGAAACAAACAGGGAAGACTGAAGCAGGTTTACAGTAGGCTGAAGGGCAGAAGTAAAGAGAAGTCAAGGAGTACTCTCCCTCCTGGTAATGTAACTTGTGTCCATCTGTCTACATGTCGTACTGCAGCTGATTTCTTTCTCTCGCTCTCCTCCCCCGTCCCCTTCTGTAATTTCTGCGGAAGTAACCATATAATTCTACCTTTATCTAACTCTACATTTAACTCTGTGTTTTTGCTCATTATGTTTTTCTTTATCTTTCTCTCTATCTCTCGCTATCTCTCTTTGTTTCTCACCATCTCCCCTTAGCTGACAATTCCTCTCTCCAACACCCCACCCCGCTAACTTTTTTTTTTCTATGGACAACAGTGCGTGAATGCATATCATGACAGCCCATGAGAAAACGACCAGCCATCTCTGCTGTTGTTTGGACAGCAATGTGTGAATGCATATCATGGCAGCCCGTGAGAAAACGACCAGCCATCTCTGCTGTTGTTTGGACAGCAATGTGTGAATGCATATCATGGCAGCCCGTGAGAAAACGACCAGCCATCTCTGCTGTTGTTTGGACAGCAATGTGTGAATGCATATCATGGCAGCCTATGAGAAAACGACCAGCCATCTCTGCTGTTGTTTGGACAGCAATGTGTGAATGCATATCATGACAGCCCGTGAGAAAATGACCAGCCATCTCTGCTGTTGTTTGGACAGCAATGTGTGAATGCATATCATGACAGCCCATGAGAAAATATGGCCAGCCATCTCTGCTGTTGTTTGGACAGCAATGTGTGAATGCATATCATGGCAGCCCATGAGAAAACACCTGCATATTGTCATAGTTGGTAGGTTAAAAAAATTAGTAAAATAACTCTTACATCTGCTGAGAGAGACTGATCAGCTTTCAGCAGTCACAAAGTGAGAAAAAAAAAAATGAAAAAGTTGCAATTAATCAAAGAAGTCATCCATTTTATGAAGTTCTTATTTTGCTTCAGAAAACTCACATCTTTTAAGTCTCAAGCACTTGTTATATTAAAACCTGTTAGTTCAATGATTTGGAGTTTAAAAGTAGCACATACTTGCATTTGAAGGAGTTTAATAGAGACACTATGGGGCACAAATAGTAAAACTAATAATTCAGATAAAAATTGTTAATACACATGTTTGTGAAAGAAGACAGCAAGAACATAAAGGGTCCCCTCGACTTACGACTGACATTCCGTTATCAATGACAGATCATATGTTGAACTGATCGTAAGTTGAATTTATATTTTTCAACATTATTTTCATTCAAACTGGATGTAAAAAAATTGTGAGAAAAGTAAAGGACCCATTTACACGCCTTCTAGTGTACTGGGCATATGAGGCTAGACCATATTTTATAGACCAGTCAGCACTTGGTAGGGGGGTGTGGTCAGCATCATGCCGGCTGCCTTTACTTCCCAGGACTTGTTCCTGGTACCTACTCAAGGTTGGGTCAACAAGACGGCCAAAGTCATGTTTGAGAAAAAAAGTCTGGCTCCATGAAGACCCGTGACCTTCCAATCCACAGGCAGGTGTCTAGCCACTACACCATGGCAGCTTCTATAAAAATTGTGCATAAAACATAAGCTCAATCTGTTTATGTATAATTATTGTAGATAGGCATCCATGTAGACTCTAGGCGTCCATGTAAACTCTAGGCATCCATGTAGACTCTAGGCATCTGTGTAGACTTTAGGCATCCATGTATCTTGGCATCCATGTAGACTCTAGGCATCCATGTAGACTCTAGGCATCCACATAGACTCTAGGCATCCATGTAGACTCTAGGCATCCATGTAGACTCTAGGCATCCATGTAGACTCTAGGCATCTGTGTAGACTCTTGGCATCCGTATAGACTATAGGCATCCGTGTAGACTCTAGGCATCCATGTAGACTCTAGGCATCTATGTAGACTCTAGGCATCCATGTAGACTCTGGGCATCCATGTAGACTCTAGGCATCCATGAAGACTAGGCATCCATGTAGACTCTAGGCATCCATGTAGACTCTAGGCATCCATGTAGACTCTAGACTAGGCATCCATGTAGACTATAGGCATCCGTGTAGACTCTAGGCATCCATGTAGACTCTAGGCATCTATGTAGACTCTAGGCATCTGTGTAGACTCTAGGCATCCGTGTAGACTCTGGGCATCCATGTAGATTCTAGGCATCCATGTAGACTCTATACATCCATGTAGACTCTGGGCATCCATGTAGACTCTGGGCATCCTGTAGATTATAGGCATCCATGTAGACTCTAGGCATCCATGTAGACTCTAGGCATCCATGTAGACTCTGGGCATCCTGTAGATTCTAGGCATCCATGTAGACTCTAGGCATCCATGTAGACTCTAGGCATCCATGTAAACTCTAGGCATCTGAGTAGACTTTAGGCATCCGTGTAGACTCTAGGCATCCATGTAGACTCTAGGCATCCGTGTAAACTCTAGGCATCTGTGTAGACTTTAGGCATCTGTGTAGACTCTAGGCATCCATGTAGTCAGCTCTAGGCATCTGTGTAGACTCTAGGCATCTGTGTAGACTCTAGGCATCTGTGTAGACTCTAGGCATCCGTGTAGACTCTATCCATCCATGTAGACTCTAGGCATCCATGTAGACTCTAGGCATCCATGTAGACTCTAGGCATCCGTGTAGACTCTAGGCATCTGTGTAGACTCTAGGCATCTGTGTAGACTCTAGGCATCCGTGTAGACTCTAGGCATCCATGTAGACTCTAGGCATCCATGTAGACTCTAGGCATCCATGTAGACTCTAGGCATCTGTGTAGACTCTAGGCATCCGTGTAGACTCTAGGCATCCATGTAGACTCTAGGCATCTGTGTAGACTCAAGGCATCCGTGTAGACTCTAGGCATCTGTGTAGACTTAAGGCATCCATGTAGACTCTAGGCATCTGTGTAGACTAGGCATCCATGTAGACTCTAGGCAACATTTCTTGGAACTTCTTGACCCTACCTATCTAGTTACCTTCCTTTATGTATTATATATTTATTTATTGTAGTCGTAAGTTACACAGGTCATTAGTCACACAGGTCGTAAGTCACACAGGTCGTAAATCACACAGGTCGTAAGTCACACAGGTCATAAGTCACATAGGTCATAAGTTACACTGGTCATGTCACACAGGTCGTAAGTCAAGAAGGTGTCTCTTATCTTTGGAACGACCAAGCAATTGATGGTAAATTGTTTGTTACAATTCAAAAGCAAAGGGCCATTATCAGGCATATGATGCTGTCACTGGCCTTTGATGTGCTCGACATCATGCCTTTACTTCCCAAGACTTTACCCATTTTAGGCTGGGTTGACCTAGGAGCCTAGGTCATGTTTTTTTACAATTACCTTTTGTCTTTTTTTTAAATGTGGTATTGATCCTGACCTTCAGGCCGGCAGGTGAAGTTTCTAGCCGTTACACCACTGCGGCCGTGATTGTTTGGTGGTAAACGAGTTAATTTACCACTTACCACAAAAAAGTGCAGTTGAAAGCTGTTTAATTTTCTGACTGAATTTATATCAACATTTTACAACCTGAAACATGTCAATAATATCTGTTCTGTATTGGTTTGACAGCATTTGAGATTCGAAGTTGGTCATTAGAGGAAGTCGGTCACTGGCTGGACAGCCTTTCGCTGGGAGAATATAAGGACAGTTTCAAAGCACATGAGATCACAGGAGCGGAGCTCTTCAATCTGGAAAGGCGAGACTTGAAGGTGAGTGTTTGGTTTTGTTGAAGCGTTGCTGGTGGAGAAAATCTTCTGTGTTAACTTTTTTTTTTTTTTTAAATACTTTTTTTTTTTTTAAAGTTGCCATATTATGGTAATATTTACAGGTCGGCTGACCTCCCCACCCCTTCCCCCTTTTCCCAATTTCTCACATACTTCCCAGGAATCCACACAGGGAACTGTAGTTAATGACTTCTTCTTCGCGTTCACTGGCTGAAAACTCTTGTAGAAAGTTCTGGGTAGTAATCCACTTTCGGACTTTGGTCTTGTTCTAGAAATCCATTTTTTGACTTTGGTCTTGTTCTAGAAATCCATTTTTGGACTTTGGTCTTGTTCTAGAAATCCATTTTTTGACTTTGGTCTTGTTCTAGAAATCCATTTTTGGACTTTGGTCTTGTTCTAGAAATCCATTTTTTGACTTTGGTCTTGTTCTAGAAATCCATTTTTGGACTTTGGTCTTGTTCTAGAAATCCATTTTTGGACTTTGGTCTTGTTCTAGAAATCCATTTTTGGACTTTGGTCTTGTTCTAGAAATCCATTTTTGGACTTTGGTCTTGTTCTAGAAATCCATTTTTGGACTTTGGTCTTGTTCTAGAAATCCATTTTTGGACTTTGGTCTTGTTCTAGAAATTGAGGTTTGCCTGCACATGCATTTCACCAATCTGGCTTATTTATTTGCAGACTGTTGGTTCCTCACCTCTCAGACAGATGCACTGTGAATTTAAAGGAAACACCCCTAATTAGTTGTCTTTTTTGTCATGCTTGTAGGTTTGTTCCTTTTTTACCCACAGTTAGTTCCCAGAACCCACACGGGGAGGTAATGACTACTGTGCTACTAAGACTGGAAGACATGCCTACTGTGCTACTAAGACTGGAAGACTGCCTACTGTGCTGCCAAGACTAGAAGACTGCCTACTGTGCTACTAAGACTGGAAGACTGCCTACTGTGTTACTAAGACTGGGAGACTGCCTAGACTGGAAGACTGAATACTGTGCTACTAAGACTGGAAGACTAAATATTGTGTTACTAAGACTGGAAGACATGCCTACTGTGCTACTAAGACTGGAAGACTGCCTACTGTGCTACTAAGACTAGAAGACTGAATACTGTGCTACTAAGTAAGACTGGAAGACTGCCTACTGTGCTACTAAGACTGGAAGACTGCCTACTGTGCTACTAAGACTGGAAGACTGCCTACTGTGCTACTAAGACTGGAAGACTGAATACTGTGCTACTAAGACTGGAAGACTAAATATTGTGTTACTAAGACTGGAAGACATGCCTACTGTGCTACTAAGACTAGAAGACTGAATACTGTGCTACTAAGTAAGACTGGACGACTGCCTACTGTGCTACTAAGTAAGACTGGAAGACTGCCTACTGTGCTACTAAGACTGGAAGACTGCCTACTGTGCTACTGAGACTGGAAGACTGAATACTGTACTACTAAGACTGGAAGACTGCCTTCTGTGCTACTAAGACTGAAAGACTGCTTACTGTGTTACTAAGACTGGAAGACTGAATATTATGCAACTAAGACTGGAAGACTGCCTACTGTGCTACTAAGACTAGAAGACTGCCTTCTGTGCTGCCAAGACTGGAAGACTGAATACTGTGCTACTAAGACTGGAAGACTGAATACTGTGCTACTAAGACTGGAAGACTGAATACTGTGCTACTAAGACTGGAAGACTGAATATTGTGCTACTAAGACTGGAAGACTGAATACTGTGCTACTAAGACTGGAAGACTGAATATTGTGCTACTAAGACTGGAAGACTGAATACTGTGCTACTAAGACTGGAAGACTGAATACTGTGCTACTAAGACTGGAAGACTGAATACTGTGCTACTAAGACTGGAAGACTGAATACTGTGCTACTAAGACTGGAAGACTGAATACTGTGCTACTAAGACTGGAAGACTGAATACTGTGCTACTAAGACTGGAAGACTGAATACTGTGCTACTAAGACTGGAAGACTGAATATTGTGCTACTAAGACTAGAAGACTGCCTGCTGTGCTGCCAAGACTGGAAGACTGAGAAGACTGAATACTGTGCTTCTAAGACTGAAAGATTGAATATTGTGCTACTAAGACTGGGAAGACTGCCTACTGTGCTACTTTGACTGGAAGACTGCCTACTGTGCTACCAAGACTGGAAGACTGCCTACTGTGCTACTAAGACTAGAAGACTGCCTGCTGTGCTGCCAAGACTGGAAGACTGAGAAGACTGAATACTTTGCTACTAAGACAGGAAGACTGCCTACTGTGCTACTAAGACTGGAAGACTGCCTACTGTGTTACTAAGACTGGAAGACTGAATACTGTGCTACCAAGACTGGAAGACTAAATACTGTGCTACTAAGACTGGAAGACTGCCTACTGTGCTACTAAGACTGGAAGACTGCCTACTGTGCTACTAAGACTAGAAGACTGCCTTCTGTGCTGCCAAGACTGGAAGACTAAATACTTTGCTACTAAGACAGGAAGACTGCCTACTGTGCTACTAATGGGGAGCTTTGGGAAAGAACTACAAATTCCAGAAAATCGAGAGGGGAGGAAAGGAGTCTGGCATTAGATAGGATACAGGTTGCAAAAACCTGAAAACAATATAAATAAAATATCTATCTACTTAAAACGTCTATATACACATCTACTTAAAATGTGTATCTACACATCTACTTAAAATGTGTATCTACACATTGGAACCCACCAAGAGAAAGGAGCTAGACAGTGAAGTGAAAAATATGGGGAGAGGATGCAGTGAGCCTCATATAACAGTAAAGGATAGGAGGGCTGGACATAAGTTGCTTGAAAGCTTAATCTCCACTGGGGGATAATGGGTAAAAGAAGAAGAGAGAAGAAGTCATCTATCAGTTATTTCTATTCACATACTGGCAACTCTGTTGTTAGTTACCAGATTTTTTTGCTTCAATATTTCAGGACCTGGGCGTAACCAAAGTCGGCCATCTGAAACGAATCCAACAAGGCATCAAAGAGTTACACCACCGAGAAGCAGCTTACGACAGACCCAGTTCCTGACAAGTTCCACGCGGCCTCAGCTGGGCTCAAAGATTGGAATTACCGCATTTACCCTACAGATCTGTCACTGGAACGGTGACCTGAGTCAGTCCAGTTGCACTGGTCATCTCGGTTGTGCTGGTCAGCTTAGCTGCTCCGGCTGACCCTCAGTAGCTACTGCATGACCAGCTACCTCGGATATTACAACCAATATTTGTGGCAACTGATTTTATACCTCATTCAATTTTTTTCTAAATTTGGTACCCCTGTTATGCAGTTATTATTCCATGCAAACATTTCAATCATTCATGTGCTGTGCACCATATTGGACTTCAAAAGTGTGCAAGTTGTAATGGCCCCATATATGACTTTGAAAGTGTGCAATTTTAACAGCCAACAATACTGGATTTTGAACGTGTGCAAGTTTTAACAGCCAACCATATTGGACTTCAAAAGCGTGCAAGTTTAAACAGCCGCCTAATCGGATTCAAAAGCGTGCAAGTTTCAACAGGCGCCTTATTAGACTTTGAAAGTATGCAAGTTTTAACAACCAGCCACTTGTTGTTGGTTGTTAAAAAGCAGTGCAGTGAGTCTGCATCACTGTAAACTGTAGCAAAACAGAAGTCACTGGAAATACAAGAGGAGTGGTGGATGGGAACATTTTACAGCTGGAAATGCTAAAGAATTGGAGGAAGGAAATTCTTCTGCTGGAAATAATAGAGTAATGGTGGGTGAGGAAACTCTTCCCCCTGGAAATACTAGAGGAATGGTGGGTGAGAAAAATTTTCCCCCTGAAAATACTAGAGGAATGGTGGGTGATGAAACTCTTCCCCCTGGAAATACTAGAGGAATGGTGGGTGATGAAACTCTTCCCCCTGAAAATACAAGAGGAATGGTGGGTGAGGAAACTCTTCCCCCTGGAAATACTAGAGGAATGGTGGGTGAGGAAACTCTTCCCCCTGAAAATACTAGAGGAATGGTGGGTGATGAAACTCTTTCCCCTGGAAATACTAGAGGAATGGTGGGTGAGAAAAATTTTCCCCCTGAAAATACTAGAGGAATGGTGGGTGATGAAACTCTTCCCCCTGGAAATACTAGAGGAATGGTGGGTGAGGAAACTCTTTCCCCTGGAAATACTAGAGGAATGGTGGATGAGGAAACTCTTCCCCCTGAAAATACAAGAGGAATGGTGGGTGAGGAAACTCTTCCCCTCCCCCTGGAAATACTAGAGGAATGGTGGGTGATGAAACTCTTTCCCCTGGAAATACTAGAGGAATGGTGGGTGATGAAACTCTTTCCCCTGGAAATACTAGAGGAATGGTGGGTGAGGAAACTCTTCCCCCTGGAAATACTAGAGGAATGGTGGGTGAGGAAACTTTTCCCCTCCCCCTGGAAATACTAGAGGAATGGTGGGTGAGAAAGCTCTTCCCCCTGAAAATACTAGAGGAATGGTGGGTGAGAAAACTCTTCCCCTCCCCCTGGAAATACTAGAGGAATGGTGGGTGAGGAAACTCTTCCCCCTGGAAATACTAGAGGAATGGTGGGTGAGGAAGCTCTTCCCCCCTGGAAATACTAGAGGAATGGTGGGTGATGAAACTCTTCCCCCTGGAAATACTAGAGGAATGGTGGGTGAGGAAGCTCTTCCCCCTGGAAATACTAGAGGAATGGTGGGTGATGAAACTCTTCCCCCTGGAAATACTAGAGGAATGGTGGGTGAGGAAACTCTTCCCCTCTTTAAATACTAGAGGAATGGTGGACTTGATAAGTTAGTACCCAGTGATTGAATAGATCTGTAGAAGATGTCGAGACTGCCTCTACTTTGACATGGAAGCGGGACATGGAATGATGCAGGTATTGGTGTAGGAACAAAATAGCATAGACTGTGTTGTGTAGAGGGGAAAATTCAGGAAGGCAGTGGAAATAGTCGGCTCTGTGGCTAAGTCGATGCGAACGCTTCATAATGCCAGGATGCCGGGTTTGATCCCAGCTGCGGGCCATGTGCCTTGCGTTTTGACAGTGGTATCAAGAAAGCCGACCGTCAAGAAAGCAATGGCAAACTACTGGTTGTGCAACGTCCTTCAAAGGATATGCAACTAACCAGTGGAAATAGGGGAAAAAAATAGATTGCAGAAAGGTTGAGAGGTGAGAGTCTGAGAAGAAACACAGTAAATATACGTGATGGCAACAACAGTCCTGGAATCCATTGCTCTAATTGTGGAAGACTTTTTCTTATTGCTGGTGGGTCTTGCTAGTCATGCTCACCATCTCCATAGGCTGTTATTCCCATGCCTCTCCATAGGTTCCCATGCCTCTCCATAGATTCCCATGCCTCTCCATAGATTCTCATGCCTCTCCATAGATTCCCATGCCTCTCCATAGATTCACATGCCTCTCCATAGATTCACATGCCACTCCATAGATTCTCATGCCTCTCCATAGATTCCCATGCCACTCCATAGATTCCCATGCCTCTCCATAGATTCACATGCCACTCCATAGATTCTCATGCCTCTCCATAGATTCCCATGCCTCTCCATAAATTCCCATGCCTCTCCATAGATTCCCATGCCCTAGCACTGGTGTACCAGCATAAGCCCTAGCACTGGTGTACTGGCATAAGTACTGGCCCTGAGGTACCCGCATAAGCCCTAGCACTGGTGTACCGGCATAAGTGCTGGCTCTGGGGTACCCGCATAAGCCCTAGCACTGGTGTCCTGGCATAAGCCCTAGCACTGGTGTACCAGCATAAGCCCTAGCACTGGTGTACCAGCATAAGCCCTAGCACTGGTGTACCAGCATAAGCCCTAGCACTGGTGTCCTGGCATAAGCCCTAGCACTGGTGTACCAGCATAAGCCCTAGCACTGGTGAACCGGCATAAGCCCTAGCACTGGTGTACCAGCATAAGCCCTGGTGTACCGGCATAAGCCCTGGTGTACCGGCATAAGCCCTGGCGCTGTTGTACTGGCAGGCATGGTTCAGTTCCTGTGCATCTCATTGCTTCAATGAAATGTGGCTTGTTGTTAGGCTATTAGAAATTGTCTACTCCATGCTGTACAGAGTCCAGTCAAATATGTGAACCTACTTCAGTGGAAGAAAACTCTGTACACAAAGGGTAACACTAAATGTATACATACATCAAGGGATGCTGCAGACTCAGAGGGGTTACCATTAGCATCCAGACATTGATTATCTTGGTCAATTACTTCTCGGCAAAGTCTGCTTCGCAGTTTTCCTTCTTCTTAGTGTTCACCTACTGTAAACTCCAGCAGAAAGTTCTGGCTGTTCATCAGCTTCTGGACTTGAGTCTGGTTCCAGAACTTGATTTTTGCACACACACACCCGTTTTAAAGATCTGGCTTATTTGTATGTTAATTTTACGCCTCTCAACAAGATGCACTCTGACTTTGATGGAAACACCCTTGACTGGTCGACTTTTAGGACATGCTTGTTAGTGGAGCACTGGATCCATTCCCTCCCCCCCCCACCCCCAAATAGGGGCCCCTAGAACCCACACGAGGAGTAATGTGGAATTTGCGCACAAGCCTCTTCAGTTTCATTCAGATATTTGTTGATTAGTCGAGTGTTTTTCTGACATGGTTAGGAGAAGGAATGAACTTGAGTATGTGGTAACAGCTGACGATTTCAGTGGATAAGAGCAAGGGAAAGGAAAAGACATAAATACCTCGATTACTTAGCCTTATGGAAAAGATGAGACAAGAACATTGACCTAATTTGCGATTGTGTGATATGGCAAAACATGACAGCCTACACTTAACAGTATGGCACATGATGTTGATGATGATGTGTTAGTATGTATTAGTGTTCTTGTGAGCAGTGACGTGATTGGAGTGAAGATTGTGCTGCTCATTGTCGTAATTTGAGGTTTTGAACAACAGATCAACAATATGGCACAAGGGTAGTAACCCATAAGTGCTCTGTTCTTCTAACTCAAGTCTGAGTCCGAAGAAGCTCAACACAATGCACAGGCTCTGTAGCCACGGCGAGGATCCTGAAATACTTTTGGGTAGATTTTTAACTCCATATTTTGCCCAGGCAACGCCGTTAGGCTACTCTTTTTAATTTCCAATTGCCAAGGGATTTTTGGCGTGCACAACAATGCACATGGGCACACGATCTCACTACCCAGACACCAGGGGGAATCAGTAGAAGTCCAACTCCATGTGAAAAAAACCCAGCCCTTACCGGGGATTGAACCCAGAACCTCTAGCACGCAAGGCGGACACCATGCCTCGAGACCGCACAGCTCCCCAATTTAATAATCAAGAGGGAAAAGTGAAGATGACATCTGTTGCTGTGTTTACACATTTGTGGACAGATTCGGGATGCCTTTTAGTATTTGACTATGTGTAGCCCATTGGTGGTATCCCAAATTTGAATGTGTTATTTCATATGTGACCTTTGAAATTTGATTAAGGTGTTATTTGCAGCTGTCAATTGATTGGTTGTTGTTTGTAACCTTTAAAAGTGTATTGAGCGTGGCTTGGTTGTCTGTTATAGGTAACCTTTAAAATATTTGACAAATTGAAAGGTACTTCTTAGTATAAGGCATAGAGTAATTTTTTTTTTTTTTAAATGACCTGTAGTTTTGTTACTGATTGTAACCTTGATTGGCTGAACATATGTTGCAGAATGATTGTGTTCTCTGACCTCTTGTTATGTTCTGAAAAGCTGTAAATGTGACCTTTATTGGCTGTTATATTTTTTGCTAGTTTTGTTACTACGAAGCTCTTTTGTAACTTTGATCAGCTGTTTGTGTGTTGAAGAATGTTTCTTATTTGATAAGTAGTTTTGTTAATATGTTTTGAATGTAACTTTATCAGCTTGAAGAATGCTTGTCTTTTGTGACAGATAGTTTGGTAATTTTGTTGTTGTGAGTGTAACTTTGATCAGTTTGGTACGAGTTGAAGAATGAAAGTATTCTATTACATCTAGGCTTGTAACTGATAAACTGTGAATATAACTTTGACCAGCTGTGCATGTGTTGAAGTATGATTGTGTT